CCCCTCACCATGGCTACCAGCCCCATGCCCCCTCTGCCCCCCCCCCGGCCCCCCCCCCCCCCCCCCCCGGTGTCACCGGTCACTCCGTGTGTCCATCTGTCCCTCCCTGCTCCGGAGCCCACGCAGTGCCAGGGCCACCAAGGGAAGTACGGGCACCCATGCCCCGGCTGTCCCAGTTGGGTCTCGCACGTGACGGCCACGTCAAGCACAAATATTTCCCTGCTAACGTGTCTGGAAAACTTCTGCTGGAGATGAGGGTGGAAGGAGGGAGGGGGACACCCGATCCTTGGGGGACAAAGGTGCCCTGGCCCTGTGCCTGGTCACGGGGACGAGGACAAGGACATGCTCCTGGGTTTGGCTCCCTGGGGGGAAAAGGGACTCCCCATTCCACCCCCCTCCCTCCCTGCGTTAAAATACCAATGCAAGAGCATGTAAACAAAGTAATTTTTATTTAAAAAAAATCCACACTGGGGGAAAAAAACAAGCAAACACCATATACAACAAGGCCACAGACAGTGTAAACTCACTGGTGATAGTGTTAGCTCAGAGAGAACACCAGAGGAAGGGTTACAAGGATATTCTATAAAAACTGGCATAATTTCAAAAAAAAAAAAGGGCTCTTCACTTCCATTAAAGGAATTACAATGTCAAAGATGGGCTGGAAACCCAAGAGTATGAAGTCAACACATCTTCCTTGTGGAAGTCCTAACAGTTATTGCCAACAGTAGGTGGAAACTTTAATTTGCTCCCAAGGTGGCAAAGCACAAAGTTCCCTCTTTTAAGATCTTAAAAAGATCTGAAGTAATTTGCAACTATCAGTCCATGAACTGGGAGATGTCAATGAACAAACCTTCGCTGCTGCCATCAGCAAGAACCCCCAGGTCCTTGGTCAGCACAGCTCACCTGTCATCCAGGTGATTCCACACCCAGGAAGAACCTAAAAACTTTTGATTTTCCTAAATACCGACAAAAAATTCAAAAGCATTACCAAGGATCTTGGTCACTGCCTCCCTGTGGCTGAAGGGAGGATTTATCCCAAAATCTTGAGATCATGGATACACCAAGCAACACTCCTGACCCTGAATTTTCTTTACAGCCTTGAGAAGCCATTTTTGTAATAAATCTGTAGCAAAAAGCTAAAACCAAAAGCCTTTTCCTCCCATGGAGACTGCTCCATTCCTCCTAAATAGGCAAACTGGATTTGTGTGGGAAGGAGGCAGCAGAACATGTACAAAAGGCGAGCAGCTTAGTAAGAACTGACATCCCTTCACCCGAGTCTGAAAATAAATTCCCATTGCCACAACGAGCACAAACTAACAGAGAACTCTGGTGTTTGGGGTCTTTTTTTTGGCTTCAAACCAGGCTAAGATCTGTTCCAGCAGCAGAGCTGTCCATCAAACATTCCAACATGCTCTTGAAAAATAAACATTTAAAACAAAATATAACCATCTCTGAAAGTGTGGTCATCGATCAACAGCTGAAGAGCAATTCTCAGGTCTGCAGGAGTTTCTTAGAAATGCCCCAAGCCCTGGCCCAGGGGCTGCTCCCAAGCCTCAGCCCCAGCTCAGAGTGCTTTCCAGTCGATGGGCTTCTTCCCAGATTTCTTGAGGAATTCATTAGTCTTGGAGAAGTGCCGGCAGCCAAAAAACCCTCTGTTGACAGAGAGGGGCGAGGGATGAACCGTCTGCAGGACGTGGTGACGCTTCTGGGAACGGCAGAGGAAACCACTCGTTAGATTTGCAGGGTTTGGGCTGCTCCTGGCTCCCAGGTCATTTACCCCCATTCCTCCTGCTCCAGGGCAGGTGTGATTTATCCCCATTCCTCCTCCTCCTCCTCCTCCAGGGCAGGTGTGATCTCCCCTTACACCCCCTCCTGCACCAGCCTGAGACCCAAAGATCCAGTCACAAGGACCAAGACTTCTGTCCCACTAAGCAAGGACATAAATGCCCTGGCATTTCCCAACTGCTGTCATGCCACCAGCAGATTTCATATTGATTCATGAGCCCTTAACTAAGAAACACAGCTCTGTCCTTGAGAGACACTGCTGACAACAGGAGCTTACACTTGCTCCACTTTTCTTGCTTAATTCTGGCAAAGGCTAAGCTGGAGCAGAAGCAGAACTCAATCTGACAGAGTTCAGGCAGGGAAAATTCCCAATTCTGGAGGGGAAGTGCCCTCTAGTGTCCACCAAACCGAGGGAAAACCCAGGCAGAGGGAAGGGCTGAGGAGAAGGAGGTGTACCCTGTCGATGGAGCTGCCTTTCCTCTGGGCATAGGCTCCCCAGAGCATGAAGACAAGCCCGTGCAGGTTCTTGTTGAGCCAGGACACCACGACATCCGTGAACTGCTCCCAGCCCCTCTCCTTGTGGGACGTGGCCTGGTGAGCCCGAACCGTGAGCACAGCGTTGAGCAGGAGCACTCCTGGCAAACAGAGCACACCCAGAGGGTGAAACAAGGGTTAATCCATCCCTAGGCTGCCCCAGGATGGGCTGGATGAAGCCCTGAGCAACCTGGGATAGTGGAAGGTGTCCCTTGGATAAGCCTTGAGCTCCTTCCCAACTCAAACCATTCTGGGATTCTGGGATCCAAACTTCTTTTAACGTTGAAGCAAATTTTCATTTGAAGGCACTCAGAAGTGATTTCCTCTCCTACAGGTGGATTATTTCCAACCACAGGAATGGTTTTTGGATAAAGATTATTTCCTGCTCCAAAGGGGGCACATCACTGAGTGCCTCTGAGCTCACCTTGCTTGGCCCAGCCTGTCAGGTCCCCATGGCCAGGGTGGGTGAAGCCCTCAATGTCCTCAGAGAGCTCCTTGTAAATATTCTCCAAGCTGCAAACCAAACCAGCAGAAGAATTTTAATAGGACAAGAGCAAGCAGCACCACTTATTGCTCTAAGCAGGCAAGGAGAGCATTGATTTTAATCTTATTATTTAAGATAACAAAGCTACTCGCAGAGACAGGGCAGCAGGGACTCTGTGTGTCTGCCTGGAAGCTTTAATGAGACTGGAAATGAAAATTTACATCCAGATTATCATCAAATCTACACAGAATTATCCTTCCAGGTGATGCACAACTCAAATTTAAGCAGTTGCTAACCACTTCACATCAATTTTCCCAGCTCTGAGCACCACAGATCTGCAAATAATTAAAGAACAGAAGGGATTTTGTAAATTTTCATACCTGGGGGGAGGTGGAACAGGTTTCTGGACACTGAAACAGAGTCCGTGAGCTTGCTTAGGTCCATGGTATGGATCTTGTCCCAAAATAACAACCTTTACCTGAAAGCAGACCTTGGTTAGCACTGACTTGTAATCAGTATTTTCCCCAGAGAGTGAGGAAAAAAGGCTTATAAATGAGTTTTATCCTAAAATAGAGACAAAAATTGCCACAAACCAAACCCTCAAAGAAACTGAAGTTAAATCTCAGATATCTCATTGCTAAAAGCACAGAGCCCACCTAACACTAAGGATTAACATCCCTATGGCTTTGCTGCTAAAATAATGAATATAACTAATATAATTTGAGAGCAGAAGACCAACATTTTCACAGTCACAAAAAATCACCTTGTTATTTTCCAAGTAGGTTTCACCCCATTTCAGCTCAATGCCACACTTGCTGTGATATTTTTGACAGGTTTTATTGAAAATTACATTACCTTGTGCTGTCTTATTTTCTTTTAATAATAGTCCTTTACTGATCAATTAAAAGAACAAGAGATGTACAAGATCAAAAAACTATGAACTAGGTTAAGCTGGTAACACCAGATAAAAAAGATCAAAAGGATCAGAGGAAGTTCTGCAGCTTGTGAGGGTAATAAAACAATAAAATCACGGTTTGGTATCAGACACGAAAGGGAAGGCTGGATTTATGAGTTCAGTGAGCCAAACAACAGCATCCACATCCCACGGGATCCAAGTTTAAGGGACCAAACACTAAAGGAACGTGTCTGTGCACCCACACCCCGCACCTCCAGCGTTTTAAACTCCCGGGGCAGCTCAGAGACCCCCACACCGCGGCTCTACTCACATCCCAGATGTCGCACATCTGCGTCCAGGTGAAGACCTGCTCGGGGGGCGGATACACCGTGTAGCGCTTCCTCTCCTCGGCCACGAACGCCATCAGCTGCGGGGGCAGCGGGGGTTCAGCGGGGGCTCAGCGGCCGCTCGGGGCTGGGGGCATCGGGGAATGCTGCTCACCTCCATGAAGTAGGGCTTGGAGAACTCCCCGGCCAGCTGCCGCCGCCAGCTGTCGCCGAAGCCCGGGGGCACGTTGCGCTCCGCCAGCAGCTGCCGCGCCGCCTCCTTGTTCCTGCGGATGCGCTCCTGCTGCTCCGCGCTCAGCGCACCTTGGCTCGCTTGGTCGCCGGCTTCCTTCGCCTTCTTGGCGGCGCTCACCTGGAAGCAGCGGGCAGGGGGGTGGCTGCGGAGGATGCGGGAGGGCAGCGGGAGCAGCGCGGCGCGGGGGCGCGGCTCGGAGCAGAGGAGCGGCCCGGAGCGGAGGAGCGGCCCGGGGCGGAGGAGCAGCGCGGTCGCGGCGGGACCAGCCATGGCTGAACAAGGTCCGGCCATGGCGGGACAGGCCCCGCCCCAGGGGCGGCCCCGCCGCACGCGGCGGTTTCGCGGCAAAACACAAAACTCGCCCCCATTGGCCGCCCGAAGCAGCGAGCTTAAACGCCCCCTCGCTATTGGCCAGCGGGAAAATCGTTCGCTTTTCCCCATTGGCTCGCCGCGGCCGGAGGGGAGGTTTTCACCTAGCAACAGTGACGTCACGGAGGGTCTCAGTGCCCATTGGGCGGCAGCGGAGCGTGGCCGCTTGATTGACAGCGCAGCCACGCGTGGAGCCGCGCGGGAATTTGGAAATTGTGCCCCCCCCCATCCAAACTCCCCTCAGAAAAAGCCGCCAGCGCCCCCAGGCCCCCTCCCTCACACACAGAGCCAGGCGCGCCCGGGCCGCCGCCAGACCCCTCTCCTCCCTCCCCTCTCCCCTCCTCCGGAGCCGCGGGCTCCCTCAGCCCCCCGCTCGCTACCTCAGATTCGCCGCCCGGCTCCGGGGAGCGGCCGCGCTTCTTGGCCGGCGCGGGGCTGAAGAAGGAGTGCAGCGTCCTCTGCCCGATCATGGCTATGGCGGAGCGGGGCAGGCAGCGCGGGAGGACGGCGGGCGGTGAGTGAGGGGCGGCAGCGGCGCGGAACGGCGGGGGGGGCGGGACTCGGATTTGGCGCCAAAACCGCGCGCGTGCGCTGGGGGGGTGTGGCCAGCAGGAGAAGGGGCGGGGCTTCGCGCGCCGCCATCGCGCGCGCTCCCGTTTCCCGCGGGATCGCGGCTCCCGCTGCTTCCATCCCGGGTGTCGGTCCCGGGTCCGGCCATGGACGGGTTCGTGGTGAGGCTGCCCCGCGGGCAGCCGGGGGATGGCGGCGGCAGCGGCGCGAAGAGGCCGCGGCTGGAGAAGCCCGGCCCGGAGCGGCCGCCGCCGCGGGAGATCCGCGCCGAGGGGCTCTGCTGTGATTACCGCATCCTCTTCGGCAAGGCCGAGGCGGACGAGATCTTCCAGGAGCTGGAGAAGGAGGTGGAGTATTTCGAAGGTATATTCCTGCCCTGGGAGCGTGCCGGAGCACGGGCTGTCCTGGGAGGCTCCGGCGGCCTCCCAAAAGGCCCGGATAGTGCTCTTGGAGACCCTGCTTGGGCCGGAGGGTGGCCTGGATGACCCCCACTGGTCCCTTCCGACCTCAGCCTTTCTGTATCCAGCTGTATTCCCCTCCGTATCCCCCTTACCCTTCCCAGTGAAGCATTTCCCTGCCCAGCCCACCCAGGTGGGGCCCAGAGCAGTTCCTAGGGCCCGGGCACAGCTGGCGGCCACTGGGAGATTCCTGCAGCCACAGCGCGGCCCTGAGAAGCCAAGAACACAGATCTGACCCCAGGGTTGGTTTTGCTGAGCTGGAAGTGTTTGTCAAGGATAATCGTGGAGTGGTGACTGGAATTTTTTGTAGGTGCAGTGTGTGAGGGATGTGATGGGGGTGCTGGTCCTGTTCATCCCTTTGCAGGGGGAATGTGCCAGGCACATTCTTCTCCCTCTCAGGATTTTTTCATAGAGGAACACAGAAGAAAGAAAGAGAAAACAATTTCTATTTCTGCTCCTTGTTTTTCCCATGTGGAATGTGTTTGGAGAATTGTTTACCTGGGGTGATTGCTTGGTTGGATTCTGGTGAGGATTGTTTGAGCCTGGTGGTCAATCCAACCCACCTGGGGCTGGAGAGAGGGTCATGAGTTGTGAGGTAGATACAGTAGTTGGAAAAGGTAGGTTTGTAGTTTTAGTATCTCATTTAAATAGTCTATTAATGTATTATAGTACAATTATAATAAAGAAATCATCCAGCCTTCTGAACTAGAGTCAGACATCATCATTTCTCCCCACTGGGTTCACCTGCATTTACAATAGGGGAGGACAAGACAGAGTCCAGCTTTGCTGGGTCACAAACCCTGGCAACAGGGATGACAGCTTTTGGGTTGACATGAGCACCCTCATTCCTGCTTGGAGATTCCCAGAAGCTGCAAATCCAGGAGATTATTGGACTGTGCAGAGCCAATACAAACCCAGTTTGGTCCTTCCCACAGATGAAATGACAAAACTGCAGGTGTTTGGCACGTGGCACAAGATTCCCAGGAAGAAGGTCACCTATGGAGACCCTGGCTTGTCCTACACTTACTCTGGGGTCACGTTCCACCCCAAGCCGTGGATCCCGGTGCTGACCCGGATCTGGGAGCGCGTCACCTCGGAAACGGGACACGCCTTCAACTTCGTCCTCATCAACAGGTACACCAAACACCTTTTCTTTTCAAATGAAACAAAAAAAAAACCAAAAAACAAACCTTCCCAGCTGCACCAAGCAGCTTTTCTTTTAAATGAAACAAAAAAAACCAAACCCAAACGTGTGTGTTGGAATCTGAAATGCAGGGAACCCTCAAGACTTCAGGCCTGTAAGCTAAAGCTTAGCATTAAACACAGGGTTTGATTTAAGACCTTAGAAAAGGCTTCCAAATTTAAGTGCTAGAAGGAAGAATGTGGATTTATGGTTTAAACTAAGTAAAAGAAAGTTTAGAATTTCAGAGTTTAAAATATACAAAAAAAGTTACAAAGGCAAACAAGAAGTTTAGAATACAGTACTTCAAGGTTTTTTACTATAATTAGCTAAAAAAGTTTACTGTAACATAAGTCTATAAGACAAAATATTTAAAGTCAGAAAAAGGCTTAATCCCACAGGCAGGGATTAACAGAGGTAATGAACAGAGTTAATCAATTAACAGGTACAAAGATGGCCTGGACCACATCGGGGAGCACCGGGACGACGAGAAGGAGCTGGCTCCCTTCAGCCCCATCGCCTCGGTGTCGTTCGGAGCCTGCCGGGATTTCGTGTTCCGGCGGCGGGAGCGGCGGGGCGGGGCCGTGCCGGGCCGGGCCGGGCCGGGCGGCCCCGGGAGGATCTCCCTGCCGCTGGCCCACGGCAGCCTGCTGCTCATGAAGCATCCCACCAACGTGCACTGGTACCACAGCCTGCCCCCGCGCAGGAGGGTGCTGGCCCCCAGGGTCAACCTCACCTTCAGGAACGTCCTGCCCACGGCTAAGCAGGGAAATGTTCAGCCACAGGGGTCTTTGGGCTCTGAAAAGTGAAGTTTTAGTTCATGCTGGAAGCGTGGATTCATCTCTTCCAGCAGGTGAATTCTGGATTTACCTCCCCGCTGGAGGATCTCGTGGACAGAATTGGGTAATTTTGCTGCTGAAGCCTGTGAGTGCAGATCTCAAAGGTTTTTTCCTCTGGGAAATGTTGCTGTGGTGCTGCTGATCCCTGTTTTTGCTGATTGCTCCCCTTGTTTTGCTCGGGAAGAATGTTCTCAGCTGATCTTTATCTAAGCAGTGTTCCAAGAAGATGAAAATGCTCCGTGGCCTGGAGGCAGCAGTTTATTATAAATAAACACTGTGAGCCACAGGCTGTGATGGTGTAAAGCTGATATTCTACAGGTGGCTCTTTCTGTCAATAAACTCTGGTTTGCTTGGGGGTTTTTTAATTAAAATAAAGCAAAGTGAACCTGACATGGAGAAGGGGAGTGCTGAGGTGTGAGGACAGGGTGGGGCTGGATGAGTGTTTCACTCCTGAGTCTTGAATTCCTTTGCTCCTGAAGGAGGCAGCACAAGATTTTTCCTCTCTCAGGTCCTTTGTACAAAAACCAAGCAGCAAAAAATGCCCTTATGGGGAAGAACTGGGTTGTCCCATTTCCATTGGAAGGCTCTCACTCTGAGAGTGTATTTTCCTAAATAATTGTCCCTAGGGATCCTATCCTGACTGCCTGAAAGCCACCACCTCCCACACCCACAGGGAATCCTGCTGAAAATGAGGGAATTCTGTCCAGTCTCCAAGAGATCTTGAACCATCAAGGAATGGCAAGTTCAGGGTGAGAATGGGAACCAGCACATCCTGTCTAACCTGGCTCCAGGCATTGGAATTAGTGCTGGGCTCTGGCCTTCAGTGGTGGGTCATTATTCCTGTGGAATTAAAGCCTGTGAAGAGAGTTGGGAATTGGTACTTCCCATTCTCTGCCACGCTCTGTGGAGCCTGAAGAGCTCCTGCAGAAAATCCTTCTTATCCTTGTGAACTGTTGTTTTAACCCCTTTGGCTCCCAGCTTGGTGTTTAAGACATTCCCACACTGATTTTTCTACCAAGTTTGTTCTTTTATTGCTACTGTACAGTTACAAAAATACCCTGAAGTGGAAAATAAAGCAACTTCAAACAGCAGTGCAGTGCTTGGACTTGGACATTTTTAAATTAACACACAAAATAAGACAAGAATAATCCAAACACAGAAATGTCATCTTGGAGCTCTTAATTCTTTACAATTTATTAATATCTTCTCCACCACGGCAGCTTGGGAGGGACGACTACCAGCATTTGAGCCTTGTGGCTGCATAGAGCCTTCCCAGAAGGGAGGTTTGGCTGGAAAACAGATCCCAGGCACCTCCGGAGGGGAGGTTTGGCTGGAAAAAACAGAGTTCTGTGACTTCTGGAAAGGCAGATCCCAGTGACCTCCAAAGGGAGGCTTGGCTGGCAAACACCAGAGCCCTGGGACCTGCAGAGGGGAGGAGGGTTGGTTCCCAAACACCTGCACAAATTCCAGAGGCTGGAAAACAGATCCCAGTGACCTCCAGAGTAGAGGATGAGCTCCCAAAGCCCTGCACAGATCCCCAGCTCACAGGGGGTGGCAGGATCTGGCAGAGCTCAGGGCCAGGACTGAGGTGCTGGGCTTTGCTCCCTTCCTCACCTGAGGGTTAAGCCAAGCCCATTTACTCCTCCCCACCCAGCAAAGCCAGAAAAAAGCTCAACCCCCACCTTGATAGCCCTTGAGGGAGATCCAGAGTCAATCCACAGCCCAGGGAAACAGCTCTTGGCAAGAGGAAACCTGCTGGTCCCAGCTGCCTGACTTCAGATTTCAGTCCATCTGCGTGTCCTCTGCCCCTCCCTCCAGCACCACTAAGCCAAGGGGCTGCTCAGCTGAACCCCCAAATCCAGGAAAAACCCCTAAATCCAGGAAAACCCCCCAAGCAGAGCATTGAGCCTGGAGAATGCAGGACAGCCACTGCTGGCACTGGAAATGGTTTCAGTTCTGAGGTACAGGGGCAGATCTGCTGGAGGGAGATGTTGGGGTGATGGTTTTAGATGGCTCCCAGTTGGGAGGGCTGAATCCTTCTCCCTTCAGTGGCCAGAGCAAATTTTTGGCATTTAGCATCCTTCAAGGCTTTTTTGTTTAGATTCTTGGTTTTTTTGTAAATTAAAACAAGTTAAAACCAAGCTACTGCTCATGCAGCACAGCCAGGAACCAGGTCCCAGTCCAGCAGTGGATTTATCAATATTTATGTACTATGAGCATTACCTGGGCCAGGAATTGTGCTCCAGACTCTGGAATGATGAGTTATGTAAATAATTTTGCATATCCACCCATTTTACCACTCCTGCTTTGGCTGGTTTGGAGCCTCTCCTGAGGAAGTGTGAACACCCCCAAGCTTTGGGCAGCACTATGAATTCATGAGGTACAAAGTTGCCCTAAAAAAACTATTTAAGACGTTGTTATTTGAAAACTTCACACTGAAAAAAAGCTTGTCTGATGAGGGATTTTTCTCCTCCAAGCTTACAAGGACAGAAAAGAGCTAAAAACAACCTACATATTTTATTCCTGGTCATTTAAAAGCAGGTTTTTAAAGGAGGATTTTTTTCTGCTTCTCCCTCTGTGCTTTGGGATTTTTTTTTTTTTTTTTTTGCACATTAAACAATCCAAAGCAGCACAATTCCCCTTATTTCTATTTACAGGACAGCCTGGGGCTAATGCAGGATTCCCAGATTTCTTCATGAGACCAGAAAGTGCCCACCAGTCCTGGCCCTGTTGTTTATATTCCGTTTAACAAGGCCAGGGGCTGCTCTACAGCTGAGCTGCAAGCCAGGAGCGTGGATCCCAATGCTGGGAATAGCAGATTCCAGCAATAAAATGGGAAGGACAAGTCTAGAACAGTTACAGCAGCTTGGAAATCACAGCATTAAAAGTTGTAGTTGATGCTACAAAACAACTGGATTCAACAGTGCTGAAGGAAATGACAACACTGAGCACTAACAAACACTCCCATGTGCTGATTCCAGCTAGATTCCAAAGGTATGGAGCAATAAATTAAGGTTTCAGCTCTTAATAGATACAAAATTATCTCCTGGATAAAGCAATTTAAATCAGGAGCAGGACTTTATATATTATAAAGAAGTGAAGTAGGAGGAAAATCGTGTGAGCAGGGAAATTTTTTGGATGGGGGCAGTTAGTGGAGATGCCTTGATGGGTCAGGAGGAATGGGATGGCACGAGTTCATCCGTGGGTGTGAGGCATTCCCAGGACGCAGTGGGCATGCAGAGGGCTGGGCCAGTGGCAATGCAGCTGTTGAGGGAAGCTCAAGGCACTTTGTGTCTTAAATCATTGCCAACAGCAGCTTCCCATCGCCCCCTCCCAGGGCTCCCCGCTGGGAAATGCTGGCAACAGAGCCTTGGGATCAAATCCCTGCCTGACAAAGGCTGCTCAACACACGCGTGGGGCTGGACTTGGGAACAGCTCTGGGAATTTTGGTACAAAACACAATTCCCAGCCATTGCCACAGGGAAGGGAATCTGGAGGGGCTGGTGCATAAGGGAGAGGTGCCAGGGGAGGGACTGGGACAGGGAGGGGCTCTTCAACAGCAGCTTGACCTCAACCCTTTCCAGGGCTCTCCCTTGGGAAGTGAAACATGTGGGATAAAGCATCTCCCTGGGAAAAGTGCGGTGGCAGGACACGGAACAGAGCCTTGGGACAAGGCAGAGAAACACTTCTCAACACACACCCGGGGCTGCACGGCGCTGGAACAGCAGGATTTGGGTACAAACCACAACTCCCAGCTGCTCCCACCACAGGGAAGGGAGCCTGGAGAGGGGGAGCTTTGCATAACGGAGGCTCCATCTGAGGGCTGGGATGATCCCGAGGGCTGGGACGGTCCCAGGGCTGGGAGATCCCAAGGGCTGGGATGGTCCCAGGGGTTGGGATTACCCCGAGGCTGGGACGGTCCCAAGGGCTGGGATGGTCCCAGGGCTGGGATTACCCCGAGGCTGGGACAGTCCCGAGGGCTGGGATGGTCCCAGGGGTTGGGACGGTCCCGAGGGCTGGGATGACCCCGAGGGCTGGGACGACCCCGAGGGCTGGGACGGCCCCGAGGGCTGGGATGACCCCGAGGGCTGGGACGACCCCGAGGCTGGGACGGTCCCGAGGCTGGGACGACCCCGAGGGCTGGGATGACCCCGAGGCTGGGACGGTCCCGAGGGCTGGGACGGTCCCGAGGGCTGGGATGACCCCGAGGGCTGGGACGACCCCGAGGCTGGGACGGTCCCGAGGGCTGGGATGACCCCGAGGGCTGGGACGGTCCCGAGGGCTGGGACGACCCCGAGGGCTGGGACGGTCCCGAGGGCTGGGGCCATCCCAGCACTGCTGGCTCAGCTCTGGGCCGGGCTCTGGGGCTGGGCCCGGCCGTGCACGCGCTCGTAGAACAGCAGGTAGGCGCTGGCAGCCAGCACCTCGTGCAGGCTGGCCCTGCGCACCGACTCGTCCGAGATCCAGAGCCACTGGCTGCCGCGGGCGCCCGGCGCGCGCCGGAAGGTGACGAAGTGTCCCGAGTGCATGTCCCCGTGGTGCACCACCACGGCCATCAGGCGGTACAGGTACAGCGGGGCCCTGCGGGGACACGGGTCAGCCTGGCCACACACACACACACACACACCCCCCACTGCAGCCACAGCTCCTGCTGGAGCAAGGGCCTGGCTCCTTGAGCAGCTGCTCCCTCCCTGCGCTAGTGGAAGGTGTCCCTGCCCATGGGATGGGATGATCTCCAAGTCCCCTTCCAACCCAAACTGCTTTTTCCTGCTGTTCCATCCCCAGAGGTGTCCAAGGCCAGGTTGCATGGGGTTTGGAGCGACCTGGGATAGTGGAACATGTCCCTGCCCATGACATCTCCAAGTCTCCTTTCAACCCAAACCATTCTGGGATTATGGGGTTCAACCCAAACCATTCTGGGATTATGGGGTTCAAACCTCCTGTTCCATCCCTGGAAGTACTCAAGGCCAGGTTGGATGGGTTTGGAGCAACATGGGACAGTGGAAGGTGTCCCTACCCATGGCATCTCCAAGTCTCCTTTCAACCCAAACCACTCTGGGATTATGGGATTCAAACCCACTCCATCCCTGGAAGTACTCAAGGACAGGCTGGATGGGGTTTAGAGCAACCTGGGATAGTGGAACATGTCCCTGCCCACGGCATCTCCAAGTTTCCTTTCAACCCAAACCATTCTGGGATTATGGGGTTCAACCCAAACCATTCTGGGATTACGGGGTTCAACCCAAACCATTCTGGGATTACGGGGTTCAACCCAAACCATTCTGGGATTATGGGATTCAAACCCGCTCCATCCCTGGAACTACTCAAGGACAGGCTGGATGGGGTTTGGAGCAACCTGGGATAGTGGAACATGTCCCTGCCCATGGCATCTCCAAGTCTCCTTTCAACCCAAACCATTCTGGGATTATGAGATTCAAACCTCCTGCTCCATTCCTGGAAGTACTCAAGGACAGGCTGGATGGGGTTTGGAACAACCTGGGATAGTGGAAGGTGTCCCTGCCCATGGGAAGGGGACTGCACTGGATGGTCCCTAAGTTCCCTACCAACCAAATTATTCTGGAATTCTATGGGCAAAGGATTACCAGCAGAAGCCCCCAAGGGTGATTTATCAAGTGGAATCATGGCAGGTGCAACTGAAATCAAAAATGTCTGAGAAAAAAAAAATAAATCTATGGATTTCTTATAACCATTTGAAAATTAAGGAAAAGAAGGGCTAGAGGAAACAAACAGCAGTGAGATGATGGCTGTTCATGAACCAGAGGAAGGAGATTTTGAGTTTTGCTTGCAACTTGCCCTACTCCCTTTCCCAGGACTAAAAGTCACCCAAGAGAGAAGCATAGGAGCTGGGACAAAGATCACATTGTGATCTTTGTGACTGGGCAGCCTCAGGACAAGGGCAGAAGAAAGGGAGACAATGTGAAGTACGGAAATTAAGAGAGGGTACAAATTTCTAACTTACCTACACTCAGGGAATGAAGTAAGTGGGAAAGTTCCTGGGGACATCAAAAATGAGGGAGAGGAGGAGGAGGAAGAGGAGGCACCATTCATGAAGAGAGGTTTGGTACCAGCTGGTTGCTCTGCATCTGCCAGAGGAAGGAAAAATTCAGGAATTTAACTTGAATGCTGTTGCCTAAGAACAGAATCCCTGCTCCTCATTATGGAATATGAAGGTATTTTATTGATTTTCATATCCAAAGGCAATTGATTATTTATTCAAATTCATTCTACATGACAAATATGGAAATTGCCGTATGTTCAAAATCTCAACTAAAGTAACATTGAGCTGCCTAAGGACAGACCTCCTACAGCTGGATTTTCCAACTGTTTTTGAAGAATCCATCATTCCCTCTCTGCTTGTCCTGAAGCCTTGGAAGACATCCAACAATAAAAACCCTGGGATATCCCAAATTCAACACTCCTTTGGACATATTTTTTTTTTTATTTTTTTTTTTTGGAGGGTTCCCATTTATTTTTCCAACTTGACTTTGGTTTCGTTTTTGGGATTTTTTTTTTTTCATTTTTTCAAATTTGAACTTGGATTCAAATTTGGGAATGGCAAAGGGATTTCTGTCCTGTTTGCAAAGCCCCACATCAAGATGCTGCTCGTGGCTTGATCCTGCAGAAAGCTTTTGATCCCCTGCAGAAAGAGCTGAACCATTTTATTGGCAAAGGAGTTACCTGAAGGTTTCCCTGCTCTCCCATCCTTCATTCCAGGGGTTGTCTCCTCAGAGTTTTTCTGGCTGAGCTGCTCCTGGCAGGATTTGGGACCAGGAACCCGATATTTGTAGATGTCCATGACCAGGAACTCGTTGAACTGGACGTGCTCGTGTCTCTTCAGGGGAGTGCCTTGGCTGGACCAGCTCAGCCTTTGCAGGTGGATGCATAAACACTGGGGCAGCTTCAGCAAAGGAAAAATCCACATTTTTCATGGAAATAAACAGGTGGTAAATCCAGGGAATAAGGAAATGTATTTTCCTTATCTCTGTATAAACTCAGTGGCAACAGTGTCCTTAAAATGCGACAGTAATTCTTGTGAGATTCCTGTTATCTCCTAATCCCCAAAAATTAATGGCTTTGCACAGGGGAAAACAAAAAACATTAAGTGTTATAAAGAGCAGAAATTCAAAATCATTGCTGTAGCAAGAAGTACATTATTACTATTATTATTATTAGCACCTGAGGCTCCTAGTTACACTCCAGTGCCCTGCTGGCCTCTGCATGACACGATTACAGAGCAAAAAAAAAGTCGTTTTCTCATAGAAATCACACCTGATGTTTACTCACCAGCTATAGTCAGGATATTTTAATTTCTCTGAAATGAGGAATTGCTAAAGATGCTACAAACCCTGTGAATATAAATCAATTTGCTCATTGACGAATTCATGTAAAATCTTAAGAAATTATACTGAGCTAAACTCACATTTAAGTGTTCTAAATAACAGGAGAATATTCATATCCTGTAAGTGTTTAGTGTTTGACTTTTTGCTCAGTTGAAGCCTCAATGCCCACAAATATTTGCCAGGGGAGTTTACTTTGAAAAGTAAAACATTTGTGGTCTAATAGCAGAAAATGGACACAACCAGCTCCAAGAGAGAAATTACTGTGACAGGATTTAGGAGATTTGGAGGGGTTTTTTTTGCCTCACCTTTCCTAACTTTAATTGCTTAACAAACGTTGTTCTCTGGTTTTCTATGCTCTGTCCATTCAGAATTCCTTCTGCCTGGATCTGGAATGAAAAGGGAAAAAAAATGAAGGCACCTGCAGACAGGAGCAATTCATTGTCTGGTTTATGCTCAGTGCATTAATCATACCTAGGAATGCTCTTCAGAATTCCTAAAGGGTCAAAATTCTAAACCAAAATCAAGATGAAATGAGCATTTAGAGAACTCCATTCACTCAGAACTGCACTCATTTGCCTCTTCTGCTGATTTTTAAACAATACCAGAGCAAAAAAATTACCCCTGGTGATGCCTGGCAACTACAAAATAAAATATTTGTAGATTTTTGTAACAGCAGTAGTAAGTAAAGCCTCAAATATTCTGTGAGGTAAGAACTGCTTGTTAAATATCTGAAATCCCAGAGGCTTTCCCCAAGTCCTGAAGAAAAAAAAGAGACGGAAAGTGAAGCCAGGATTGTGTCAGCAGGCTCAAAACTGAGCAGGGAGGTGACAGGAACTGAAGTGACAAGAATCAAAGGGACCTACTTTGGTGCAGTTGTCACACACAACATCCTTCACAGACTCTGAGGAGATGAAGTGATGGAGGCAATGGTCCAGTGTCATGGGACGACCCTGAGTGCCAAGAAAAGCCAGATTTATTCACAGGAATTTTAGGGTGCATTCCGCTGGATTTTGGGGAAGGATTTTTAATAATTCCTTCCATAGGAAAACTACAGAACTGCTGATTTATTTCATGAAAGAACTGACTAAATGGCTCTGGGTGATCATGGAACTGTGGGGATTCTCCTTTAGCCTGGATTAAGCATGGAAAACTTTGCAGCCTTTTGATAACAGCAGCAGTGATTCCCTGTGTGAGTCCTTCAGTGGGGTTTTAAACCACAGACTCCTGTCCTGTTCCTATTTATCTCTCATTCCAGCACTTCAGAGGTCACTTTATACTCTCTGGCCCTCTCCATAGGAGAAATACAGCTTTTAATGGAATGCAGGCCTCCTTGCTGCCCTTCTTCATATCCTACCCTGCCAAGGATTGGATAAAACAAAACACAAAGAGCAGAAGATGTGTCCAAATCCCAATCCTGGCTGTCCAGGAGGGCACTCTGCAAATCAGGAATCACAATTTCCATAAGTTGTGGAAATAAATCAATACCAGACATGAAGTAACAAATTCTTACAATGCAAAAAATATCCTGCAGATGTTGCCCTAAAAATCCACAGTGTTTTGTCATTTGAAGTTGTTCAGAGCCAGAAGGAAATGGAAACAATTCCCAGCTGAAATCACCCCCCTGGAAAAGCCTGGATGGGGTAAGGTGTGAGCTGCCAGCTCACAGGATGGGAAGCAGCCCTTGGGGATATGATCTGGGCTCTTCAAATTCCACAGAAAAGACCAAATCTTCCACCAGGAGAAACAAAGTTCTGGTGGCATCACCAAGTTCTGCTTGTTGGGCTCATCAGAACCTGGCACCACCCATTAGGGAGAAGGTCCTGCAGCAGCACAGGATTTAAAAAGAGCAGGAAGATCAAGTCCTGAAGTAGCTCTGAATGTCCTGTGCCCCTGAGGAAGGCCTGGGAAGGGCAGGATGGATCAGGAGCAGTGGGATACATACCCACACAGCTGCTGGAATGCTCAGGGAGAGGCTGTCGAAGGTGTCGAACCTCACAGGGCTCTGCAAGAGAACATTCCAGAGCCAGCATTTATTTCAGTGATGCCTTCAGTTTGAGCTTTTATACTTTCCACATTCTGTACTGCATTAGTATGTAACTCTGAACTTCATATAAAGTGTTAGCAGCAAGCTCTCCTCATGTTAAGTCAGCCAAAACAATCCTTTTCCAGCCCAAGAACCAAGGACACTGTTGCAGCTTCAGGCCCAAAAAGTGTAAACAACAAAAAGGCCTAAAAGGCCCAAAAAGTGTAAATTGAGGAGAGCAAACTGGGAGGATGTGACTTCATAACCTGAAGCTGTAATTGGATAATTAACCCCAATATGGAAATGGACCAAAATTTATAAAAGTGTGAAAGCTCGTGACCATCTTGAGTGGAGCCACGGCCAGGCTTTTCAAGGCTTGTGAAGGCATTTTTAATAAATATCTACTTTATTCTTCAAAACCCTGTGTAGCCTCTGCTCTGAGCAGCCTTAAAGGCACCATCAGTCCCCAAATATTCCATCCCAACGTTCCTAAGTTGAGCCTGTGCCCTGTGCTGTCCATAATTCCCTGGTGGAACAGGATCCAAACCCCTCAGTTTCCCAGTTGTGCCAGAGAGCATCAGGAATATTCTGTTTGGCCTCTCCCTGCTCACTCCAATTTGTTTGCAAGGTTTTGGGAAATAAAATGCAAATGTTCTCTTGGTTTGGGCTATAAATGAGGTTTATTTTCTGTATTTTTTTCCATTATCCAGGTTATCTTCATCTCCTTACTTGGGATAACTGGACTTTAAGTGGCTTTGCAAAATGTGCTGAATGAGCAGCGAGTCCTAAACTCACCCAGGTGAATGGATTTTCAGGTAATATTATTAATTAATTAATTAATTGTTAAATTCAATAATAGAATAAAACATCCATTATTCTGGCTGATGAGGCAGCTGTTACCCCCACAAAGTGCATCACGTGGATTTTTTTTTTAGTCTATTTTGGGATAAATCCTTGTTCATGCCCAAGGGATGATGGTTCCAGGAAGCACTCTGAGTGCTGGAAATCCTTTTTCACATGACACAGACATTAATAACAATATAAAATATTATCTATTTCCATACCTGGTGCTCACAGTGTTTGCAGACCATGTTGCTGGTCAGCCTTCCATGGAAAGGGTGCTGAGTTTTCCAGTGGTTGGACATAGGGGGAAGAGATCCTGCAACACAAAAATTGTCCTTGGATTTTTCTATTCATCCACTTCTATCACTCCAATCCCACATTTTGCCCTGCAGTTCCAAAATTAATGCCTCCAAAGTACATTTTTGTCTCAGTGATTAATAATCAATGGAGATTTATTTGTAATTTTGATTTCTATTGCAGTTCAGTATAAACATTAATTAATATTATCCCTTTAATAAACAAAACTATCCTATGAATATTCAGGATATCCAGAAGGGATAAAATCCTACCTCTTGTCCTGCAGCTTATTTGCTTTTGGATTATTTCTGGTTGCTACAGAGGGAGATAAAAACATTTCATTAACCCCACCTCAGCAACATAGAAAAGCTTTAGAATTTTAATACGTGAAGTATTAAATGTGCTCCTATTTCATCCCTAGTTGGCTTTTCTTGCTAATTAGAAAAATTATGGCTCTTTATATTTGTAAGAACAAAAAAACCTGATACAAAACAAATTTATAATTGACAATTGCTTGTAAAAGGAATCCTTAATCTGCAGGACTCTCTGCCTCAGAACATTAAAAGAGGAGATTTTGTATTTTTTTTTGTTCTATATTTTAGGCAAAACCAGGTATTTTTCATCTGCATCAAGTTTATCAGTAAGCTGGAGGATAAGATCAATTTTACCTCCATAAAACTCTTCCAGAAATGCCCTTTTTGCAGTTTTCATCCCTTTTTTCCGGTGGGAACTACAGATCAGAGTAAAATCTTGGAGGGACTAACTTAAATCCCCGCATCCCATGGATTTAGGGATGCAAAAGCCTTCAGGAAAGCAAGAACACTGGAAATTCCAAGACATTTGCTTCCGAAAACCTGAGAATTCTTTAAATTTGACTTATTGATGAGTCCCTATCAAAGGATTGAAGAACACCTTTGGGAAGAGAATCAAAATATCCTAAATGTACACTTTCTACTCGGGGATCTGGGCAGATTGTAGGAATTTCTGATAAGGAAGTAAGTGGGATCACCTCCAGGGATTGCACATCAAACAAATGGGTCACACGGGGCTGCCGATCCCGTTCGTCCTCCAGGGAAGAGGTCAGGACATGGAACAGCTCATGGGCATCCTGGAAATGCAGTCAGAAACAAAAGAGATACAAAAACCACCCCAGGAGGGCTGGAATTCCACAGGAAATGAAGGGAAAATTACAGCTCACAGCCTGGATTTATATTTATAGTTATATTTATATTTCAGCACATATAAAAGATATAATATAGATAATATAATATATAATATTACATATAAATATATCACATGGAAGTACATACTAAATATAAATTATAATGAAAATTAAGTATCTAAATAACTATATTAAATATATATTTATATATGTATTTATATATATTATATATATTTATGAATTTATATATAATACATACTATATTTTATATTAATTGTATATTATTAGATATAATTATATATAATCATTATATGTAATCATCTATATAATTATTAGAATAATAGTAACAAAAACTATTAAAATAATATTGTTATTATTATTATTTTTTTGTTTATATTGCATCTATTTTGTCATCCCCAAAAGCTTCCTAGAAGCACAAGGTACTCAAGCCATTCTGGACCACATAAACTCACAAAAAAATCTAAAGCACTTGGGAGGAAAAAATACCCCCAGATGAATCCCCAAATCCCTGTTTTCCTGGATTTTGAGGGAAGCATAATTGAAATCTAGCCTTGGAAAGCAGGAATATATTTTAGGAGTGGGATAACTGGTGGAGTGCACTGGAAATGCTGACAAGAATTGCAAATAGTTAGGAATTCTGAAAAGATGGGAACAGATCCATTATCCATAGGGAAATCAGGGATCTGTTCTGCTTTAACATTCCTGGCCCTGCTGGCAGTGAGAAGGTCTGGAATTCCCTGAGGAAGATCCAGCCCACTGCAAGCCCCATTCCCAAGCTGTGGGTGTTTCCCATCACTTTTTGGGAGCAGGATTGAGGCCTGGCAGCCCCAGCTCTGGGGGATTTTCCCAAATTCCTGCACTCACCTGCTCCTCAAAGGAGGAGATCTGCCACCTGTTCATCCTCAGCACCTCCAGCAGGCAGCTGGCATCCAGGACATCGTCCTCTGTCACCTCCTGGCAGGACAAAGCTGCAGAAGGGAATGCAGGAGTGTCAGGAGGAGGCAAAATTGGGTAAAAAAAAAATCAGTGTTTTATGGGGTTACAGCACCAGCAGCCTCACACCACTTCCACAGGAATGTCCCAAGCAGAACTTTCCTTTAAAAATAACCCTGTGAGGGAAGCCAGGGGTCATTTCAGGGTGTCAGAGATGGATTTAGCCCAAAAATTCATCACCTTGAGCTTAAAATCTTTAATATTTTATAATATTTAATATATATATTTTTATATATATTATATAATTATATAGATTATATAGATTATATATTATGATATATTATAATATTGTATATAATATTATATATAATATATATATTTTATATAATATATATTTTTCTAATATATATTTTTTATATTTTATATAACATCATTGTATAAATTCATTCATAGTTTATTAATTTATTTTTTCTATGAATTTATTATATAAAGCTATAATATTAATTTTATAATATTTAATATTTATATATTTATCTTATATTTTGTATTTTATATAATATATTATATAAATTTATAGTTTATTTATTCTTCATAATAAATATATTAATATATTAAATACAGAAAATATATTTACTTATAATGATAAATTTGATACATGAAACAATTAAATGTAGTGAAATAATTTATTATATAAATTTATGATATAAAATAATATTGTTCGCTTTATAATGTATTTGTATAACATTTTTATATTTTATCTTTTTTAATAATATTTTCTTTTCAAATATATATTTTTTATTTTTTCAGATTTAATTTTTAAGATCTGAAACTTTGCAAAGCGAGGTTGAATAGGCACGGGTTTTTGGGAAAATAGTAAGCTTGGGGAAAAAAACAAAAGCTTAAGTTATTTGCTAATAATTTTTAAATAGAAATCTAGATTTCTTGAGTTCTATGGAAAGAAGTGAAAGGTGGTTGAGCTTTGGCCAAGTCATTTCAATTAACCTGAAAATCAGAGAAATAAAATAGGAAATACAAACCCCCCCACCACGAGCTTCTGTGTTTGGGAAAATAGCCTGAAAATAACAATTCTCTTTAAACATTTTCTCCTTGCAAGAGGAAAAGGCCTGGGTACCTCTGAGGAGCTGCAGCAGCGTCACGGAGAGGAGCTGCTGGTGCTCCTGGGCCTTCTGCTCTGTCCTGTACTGGGCTGTGAACTCCTCCAGCCACCTGATGAACGAGGGGCAGGAGGACAAGCCCTGCAGCAGGGAGTTCATGAAACACGTGTTGCCCAGGTTCAGGAGGCCTGGCACCAGCCCTGCAAAGAGAATTGCAAGTTTCCACCACAAAACCCAGGGCAAACATCCCTGGTTTTCAATAGGAGTGCTGCGTCGTGAGAGAAAAACGGATTTAAGTGGGGTTCTGCGTTCAGTTTATGCTGTTTCAGTTGATTTTTGGGCGTTCGCAGAACCCCCAGAATGGTTTGGGAGGGATCTTGGTGATCCATCCAACCCCACCTGCTGTGGGCAGGTGTGAAAAACACCAATTACTTGTTTTTTAAAGTCTTAAAAGTTTATTAGTAACAAAACAGTTATTAAAAATGGTAATAAAATTAGAGTAATAAAAATGTGGACAATGAGGATTAGGACACTACAAACATAACAATAGTAATAAAATTAGAGTAATAAAAATGTGGACAATGAGGATTAGGACACTACAAGGCAATAAAAAGCAAAGAATTTTGGACATCTGGATGTTTTTGGGCACTGAGCTGCCAAAAAACATGCTTTGGGAACAAAGGAATAACCCTTAAAAGCAACAGCCTGTTGCATATCCATGTATCTCATACGTGATGCATAAATTCCTTGCAAATTAATAATTTTGTTTTTGTCAACTTCTTCCCCCTAATCCTGGTGGTTCCATAAAGGTGGAGAGAAGGTGGAAGAATGTTTGTCTTTTCTGATGAGGAAGTTGTAACTCTTTAGATTTCCTGTTATCTCTGTGTGAAAAGTTTCTTAATTATCTTATCCCTTTTCCTGAGCTAGTAAAAAAATATCTTACATCGCCGAGTTCCTATTTTAACATTACGTTGTAACCTACAGCGATATTTAACACGCTACTTATAAAGGATTAATACTGTATTACAAAATAACCTTCAATAACACGTATAGTATTGAATTTAATATTTGCGAAGAGCATTAAAATATGAATTTTGAACCTTCCACAAGGTTCCAAGCCCTGTCCAACCCAGCCTCCCAGGGATGCAGAGACAACCCTGGAGAATTGTGCTAGGGAGAAATTCCTCCCAGCCGTGCCGCTGGCAGCTGTCAGAGCGGGATAAAACAGCCGTGCCGGGGCCGTTCCCGGCGCTGGCAGCCCCGGCCCCTCCGGTACCTCTCCGCCGCCGCTTCCTGCCGCCGATGGGGCCCCACAGGACGTAAATGCCGGCCGCCAGCGCCGCCGCCGCGCCCCCCAGCACCCCCCAGCTCCGCATGGCTCGGTGCCTGCCACGGGAAAAGCGAGAAGCGCGTCAGGAGCTGCGGGGGAAGAAAAACCAGCCGGGAGCAGGGGCTGCGGGAAGCCGCAGAAGCGGCCAAGCAAACGGGGAAAGGGAGGAAGGGGGGAAGAAGGTGAGGGAAGAAAGGGAGCCCAGGGCTCGCCCTGACCAACCGGAGCCCAGCCCTCCCCTCAGAGCCGGCCCGCTCCCGCTCCACCCCGGCCGCTCTCCGGTCACCGCCGCCCCCTCCCCGGCACCTCCCCTCGGACCTGGCGCCCTCCCCGGCCCGCAGCAGCCGCCGCACCGGCCCGGCCGCCAGCATGGCCGGGGCACGGCGGCGGCGGGGCCCGGAAGTGGCGCGGCGGTTATGGCGGAGAGCGGGCGGCACCGGGGGCGGCACCGGGGCGGGGTAACGGGGCCGTGCCCGGTGTGACAGCGGGCCCGTTCGCGGGATAACCGCCCCGTTCCCGGCGTGGCCCCGGCGCGGCGGGCCGCCCCGCGCCTCACGGGCCGGTCCCGGTGTGACGCCCCGAGCCCCCCGCGCTGCCCCGCCCTCACGGCCCCGCCGTGAGGGAGGCGGCGCGGAGCCGTGTGGCGCAGAGCCCCGTGGCCGCTCCCCCGGCGCTCCGGTTGGGATATTGAGGGAGAAGCCTCCTGGGAAGGGTGTCCAGCCCTGGCAGCGCTGCCCGGCTGCGGTGCCCGGGGGTTCCCGGTGCCGCTGGATGTGACCCTCGGGGACACGGCCCGCCGTGGCCGCGGCAGCGCCCGGGCTCGGGGCGTTCGCCCGGCGCTGCCGATCCCATGGGGGAGCCGCGGCTGAGCCGGGCCCTGCTGAGCCGAGCCGTGCTGAGCTGAGCCCGGCAGCCGTGCCAAACCACACTGAGCTGAACCAAGCCAGGCCCGGCCATGGGTGAACTGATGCGAGCCGTGCCGAGCTAAACCGAGCCGAGCTAAACCCAGCCGAGTTAAACCCAGCCGAGCCATGCCGAGCTGAGCCAAACCATGCCGAGCTGAGCTGAGCCGCGCCAAAGCAGCCCGGCCGTGCCGAGCCGTGCCGTGCCAGGCTGAGCCCAGCTAAGCCGAGCCTAGCGGAGCGGGTGCGCGCTGGCCGGCGGGTCCTGCGGAGCTGTCCAGCTCCTCCAGCAGCTCCATCCCTTCTCTCCATCCCTTCTCTCCAGCCTCTCCATCCCCTCAAGCCCTTCTTTCCATCCCTTCTCTCCATCCCTTCCTTCCAGCCTCTCCATCCCTTCCTTCCAGCCTCTCCATCCCTTCCTTCCAGCCTCTCCATCCCCTCAAGCCCTTCTTTCCATCCCTTCTCTCCAGCCTCTCTAGCCACTCCATCCCTTCTCTCCATCCCTTCTCTCCATCCCTTCTCTCCATCCCTTCCTCTCTAGCCGCTCCATCCCTTCTCTCCATCCCTTCCTCTCTAGCCGCTCCATCCCTTCTCCCCATCCCTTCTCCCCATCCCTTCTCCCCATCCCTTCTCTCCATCCCTTCTCTCCAGCCTCTCTAGCCGCTCCATCCCTTCTCTCCAGCCGCTCCATCCCGCAGCCCGAGCCCGCCATGCGGGAGCGATGAGCGCAGCCGCCGCCCGGCCATGGAGGAGGATTTGTTCCAGCTGAAGCAGCTGCCGTGAGTAGCTCCGGGGGGGCTCCTGCCCCTCCGGCCGCGGCAATCCCGCCGGGGAGCAGGGAATTCAGGGAATTCTGCCGGGAAGCCGCTCGCACCCCGGCGGGCAAGGTCGTTTTCCCGCTGGAGGTGCCCGGGTGGAGCATCCCGAGGGATGCAGGAGCCGTTTGTTACATAAATTCACTCGTCTCGCTTGGTTTTTTGGCGTTTGTTTGTTTTGGTGGGGTTTTTTTTTCTTTTTTTTTTTGTTGTTGTCGGTGTGGATTTGATGGCGGTAAAAAAATCAGCAGGGGTTGGGATAAAACCGTGGGGATTTGGGGAGAGGAGACGTTGGGATCGCCTCTGCAGGGGGGTTTGGCTGTAAATAACGTTGTGCTTCCTCGCCATCCTCCTCCTCCTCCTCCTCGCCAGGGAGGAATGGCAGAGCAAGAACCTGCCCTGCCAAAGGGGGGTTCGGGGGACCCCAAAATCCCCATCGGCATCGCCAGCGTTTCTGAAAAACTAAACGCTGCTGCTGCACAAGGAAAATGCTGATTTTGGGGATGTGGTTGCTGCATCTGTGCAAAAAAAAATTTAAAAAAAATTAAAAAAAAAGCGAAAACCCAGCCCCAAAACCTGACAAAATCTTTGGTGCCTTTAACCCCGGGAATTCCTTCCTTTCCCCTCAATCCCAAATGCTTCCTTTAAAACCAACCTGGTTTTTATCCTAATGCTCCATTCTCAGGTGTTTTGCAACATATTTCCTATTTATAAATCATGGGGCTCTGCAAGGCAGGGAAGGAATGTTTCAAGTTGGTGTTAAATATTCATGAGCTCCTGTCAATGACAGAGCACCCTGTCCCATAACGTTCCTGCTAAGTTGGACGAGAACTCCAGCTCTTTTCCAGTCCTTTGTTAGGATTGAGCTTGTCAGGGACAAGAATCAGAGGTTATTTTATCACAGGTTATTTTATCAAGCTTTTCCCCCCCATTTTTAAGGCCAAAACCTGGGAATACATTCCACAGTACCTTCCAGTGCAGGTGTTTTGGTGCTGTGAGATTTTGCAAATAAATGTTGCAGCTCCCTGAAATATCCCAGATGTGAAAAATTTAGCAAGCATAGAACACAAATTATCCCTGTGGAGTTTTTTCCTGTGTTTGTATCAGTTTGTGTCCTATATCCCTAAATTCTACACCTATATTTTTATTTTCTGTGCTGAGGAATGTGGCAGTCTAGATTTGTGATTCTCAGATTTTGTAGGATCTATCACCTCCAAAGCTGGAATGATCTTTAAGGTCCCTCCCTGCGATTCTGGGATAATATAATTTATTTCCAAAACAATTTCACTTAAATCCCTTGGATTTTCACTTTCCAAAGGGGGAAAGTTCTGCTGTGTTGCAGATAAAGTGAAGGAAGTTTGAGGGATCTGTTCCCAAATCTTTGGCCACAGGAAACTTCATAAATGGGAAAAGAACCTTCTCTGTGGGAAGGGAGCAAAACATCAAAGCTGTGTCAGTATAGCAAATTCTGGTCTCAAAATGCAGATATTTCATTAATGACATGATATTAAATAATTCTGTTTAAGATGAAAGCAGAGTGACAGAATCAGCATCCTGCTGGAAAAAAAAATAAAAAAAATCCATCCATTCCCTGAATGAGCTCAGTAATTGCATTTCACTAAATAGTATTTCAAATTCTGGTGCATTTCAGGGTTTTCTAATCACAAAAACAACTCAGGAAATGGAATTTGGGCTCTTCCTGCCTGGACAAACCCCCAAAATTCAATGACACAGCAATGCCTAATTCCAAGTAAATCCAGTTCAGTGACACAGCAATGCCTAATTCCAATTAAATCCAGGCACACCAAACATGGATCTCATTAAATATGCACCATTCCATCATATTTTTATGACCTCTGTGGTTTTATAACTTTGTGGGTAGCACAGTAACAACCTCTGTGTCCGAACCCAAGGATTAGATCCCATCCCAACGTAGGAAACCAGATCCAAACACAAATCCCAGCGTTCCCAGTGGAGAAGGGAGGCAGGGAATGAGGAGAAACCTTGGTGGGAAAAGGGTTTTAAGCCTCCCCGGCTGGCAAATCCTCCTGGAAGGATCCATCCCAGTTTTTTGTGCTTTCAGGGTGGTGAAGTTCCGCCGCACGGGGGAGAGCTCGAGGTCGGAGGAGGATGGAATTTCGGGAGAGCACGAGGTGCAGATCGAGGGGGTGAGGACGGAGCTGGAGCCGGTGGAGCTGGAGGATGGAGCTGCAGTGCCCAAGGAATTCGCCAACCCCACAGATGGTGAGGTTCTTGTTTTCCTGCAGGGAGAGGCTTGTGGGATCTCTTCATCTCAGGCAAGCCGAGTACAGGAGGTTTGGAGAAGTTCAGGATGCCCAGATAAAAAGAATAACTCAGGGAAATCGTGTTAGACCTGAAGATGGTGGTTTGATCAGCCCATTCTCTTTGGGATGCTCTCTCTGCTCCTTTTTGTGTCCTGGGAGGGAGTTGTGTATCCAGCTGCCACACTGGAATTTGCCTGAATTCCCTCTGGAGCTGCTCACAGCTCCTGGAGCAGCTACACCTGGCTCTCCTTCAAGGCTGAGATGAATCTGCAGAGTTCTTGGCTCCTCTTTTCCTAGAGGACAACAGGAATGTCCATCTCAGCCTCTGTTTCCTGCCTGGAGGCATCCCTGCTTCAGGAGGAAGGAGAAATTTTGGGTTTGTCTTAGCACAGCATGAAAATTTAGTGTTAATCTTGTTTGTGAATTTCTCTGCTGTGCTTTATCCCTTGGATTTTGTTTGATTTCCTCCTGGTTTGTGTTGTGGGGATCTCACAGCTCTCAAGCCAAAGCTTTCCTGTGGAATGTCCTTTTCAAACTGCTGCAAGTGTTAGGACTGTGAGACTTCAGTTGATTTAAACAACTCAAATATGAAAATGTGCTTTTCTTTCTTGTAGTTTCATTTTGCATTTGAGCAAAGGAATTTGAGACATCTCAGCACCTTCAGTGGGTGGGAAACAACCAGCAGCATTTTTAACAGAAGCAGGGTTTAAGATTTGTGTGTTTTGGAGAAATTCTACCTACATTTAAACAATGAAAGGTTGCACTGAAATATTCCCTGCAGCTCCCAGCACTGCTGTGGGCTGGGGTAGAACTGTTTCTCCCCACAGAAAGCTGCATTTCAGTGGCTGGAAGAGTCACTTCCAGGAGGAAGAGGCTGAACATGGGCTGGATTTGTGGGTGCCATACTGATTTACCTCCACATGATTAAAATATTCTAGGAAAAATTTGAATTATTTTGGCTTTGGAAGAACACAGAGATTTTCCTGAGTAGGAATTGTATAATAACAACTAAGCAAATCTGTTATATATTTGAGATCTCAGCAGATTAGCCAATTAATTAGTAATTAAACCAGAACAATCTCTCTCAAGGGCTGGCTTTTCTCAGGAATTAATCAACTGGAATTGTTTTCTTTCCAGATACTTTCATGGTGGAGGATGCAGTGGAAGCCATTGGATTTGGGAAGTTCCAGTGGAAGCTCTCTGTCATTACTGGATTGGCATGGGCAAGTAATTGGGATCAGGATCAATACATGATCATCACTTAGAGAATCTCGGGAATTTCAGATAATGAGGGCAGAGAGTCTCCAAGCAGATAAATGTACAATAAAGCAGGAATTTCACTGGAAATTCTAAACTAACAGCAGCACTCAGCCTTGTTGTGAGGGGTAATGATAGATTTCTTTGTCTCTGAAGTTCTTAGAGGTCAGGGTTTGGAACACAATTTCAATTTTCCACTTCAGTTTGGCTTCAAATAAAAGAGATTCCAGGCTGCTCTTGCAGAACCTGAGGTTTCCTGCAGTGATTTTGCCAGATTCCTCCCATCAGCTGCCACCTCAGTTGTCTGTATCATTCAGGATTGCTGTAATCTCAGTGTCAGAGGAACAGCAACCCAGAACTTCCACTTTTAATTTTGATATCAACAACAAAAAAGTTTTTGTTTCCATTTTTCTGCTCTTTCTGAAGCTCTGTGTTCCACCTCCTGTGGTGTATTTTAGGATCCTGCTACCTGGAGCTGTATTTCCTGGCTTTTATCCACGTAAAAAGCTGGAATCTGCCATGGTGTAGATCCTAAATCAGCTGTGGAATTTGGTTTCCAGGTGATCTGTGCAAATCCAGGAGTGTTTAAGGGAATAAGTTACAAGGTATTAAACAGTCCTGACTGAATCCATGTGTGAAGGAGCTGAAAGCTGGAATTTGCACTGTGGAAGTGACTGAACCTGTGTCACTGACCAACCAAACCTCCTCAAAATCTTTGGGTTCAGCTCTTTGAATCCTCTCTGCCAGAGTTACTAAAAGTGCTGACAATCAGAAATTAGTTTCAATGTTAAATATTAAACATTTTGTTCAACCACAAGGCGGGAATGTCACAGAAATGTCACCAAAGCCTCTTATTGACTCCTAAATCCACCTGATATGCAGGCAGTTGTTGATTTTTGCTTTCTCTTCCCCCTGCAGATGGCAGATGCCATGGAAATGATGATTTTAAGTATCCTTGCTCCTCAGCTGCACTGTGAGTGGCGCTTACCCAGCTGGCAGGTTGCATTGCTCACCTCGGTAGGAAAAATACCTGACAGCTCCTGTCTTCCCTGAGGTTTTGCCATCATTGTTATCCAGACATTTTGCTTTGTATCCCCAAAATTAAATCTCCTCGTGGCCTGTGCAGATTGCCTTCAGCTTGAAAGTTTATAGGAGGTTTTAAAAAAAGATTTGTAGGAGTTTTTTTAAAGATTGAAGTAATGAAACTCAGTGAGAACTGAGGGCATTTTGCAGCTTTCAGGCTTGAAGTTTCATCTAATTTCCAGGCAAACATATGAATTCACTCAGATTCATCCTAAAATTCAACCCTTTGGATTAATAATAATAAAAAGAAATGGGTAAATTTTTATTATCTTGCTTGCAAATCTTTCTCTCTCCCCATATCTAAGCTCTCTGACATGCTGAGAGCCCTGACAGAGAACAAACAGTTGATTTTTGAGGTTGGACACAATGATATCAGAAGTCTTTTCCAGCCTAAATAATTGTGGGATTATCCATTGATCTTTGGAAGCAGAGATCTTATAACACCAACTCCAAGGATGGTGCTGTGATGTTGGAATCCTGCAATGCCTTTAGGGATAAGAAAATAAATTTGGGAACCCTTCTCTCAGCATAGGCTGCTGATGAATGCAGGGACTTTATTCCCTGAATTTCTCTGTCCTTGAGTTTTTAATGCCCTTTGTTTGATTGTGTAAAATGGCTAAAATGCTCCGCAGAATGAAATGGTGTCCTTGAATCCCATGAATCGCCCATCCCTGAGTGCAGCTCAGCGCAGGAGTGTCCCCTCTGAAAAAATCTTCAGGGACATTTTCTTTCACACTTCAAACTTTCCTAAACTTTTAAGGTGTAATTTTATCTCCATTCAAATCTGGGAGCTGCTGAGGATGGTGGTAGGAGGCTGGAGGAGAGCTCTGTCCTGCAGATCTCCACCAACAGCTCCTCAGCTTTTATTCAGGAATATTTTCCATGGAGCTGGAGAGCTCTTTGTCTTCTAGGCTGGACTCACAGTGGGACAATACCAGTGCTCCCAGACCAGGCCAGACTGGGATTCTCTGGGCTGTCACTGATGGATTTTTTATTGCAAAGCTGACTTGAGGAGGTACCTTGTTGATCCCTGCTCCAACCCAGAGAGAACTGGATGATCTTTAAGGCTCTTTCCAACCCAAACCATTCTCTGACCTCCCGCACATCTCACTCTATTTTGGGCTGAAATGTTCTGATTTCACTGGAAGTTTGTGTTCTATGTCTGTCACATTGGAATTTTCACTTGTTCAGGGAAAGATTTTTTTTCCCTATTGTTCCACAGGTGGTGTTTGTGGGAATGATGTCCAGCTCCACGCTCTGGGGAAACATTTCAGACCAATATGGGAGAAAAACAGTAAGTCTGCAGCTCCTGCTGGGATATATCCCAATATTTTTGCAGCATGGACATTTCAGTGCAACTGGCATGAGGTGCCCAGAGAAACTGTGGCTGCCCCATCCCTGGAAGTGTTTGAGGCCAGGTTGGAGCACCTGGGATAGTGGAAACTGTCCCTGCACCTGGAATGGAATGAGCTTTAAGGTCCCTTCCAACCCAAACCATTCCAGGATTCCAAATTCCCAAATGTCCACGTGTACAAAGCAGCACTAAGACATCCAGAACTGAGCTCCTATGAAATAGAAGGCACTTGAAGCTCTGTTTTACACTTTGATTTGTGTTACAGTGATTTTTATCTCTTGCTGAACACAGGGCCTGAAGATCAGTGTATTGTGGACTCTCTACTACGGGATCCTCAGTGGATTTGCTCCCATTTACAGTTGGATCCTGGTGTTGAGGGGCCTGGTGGGCTTTGGGATTGGAGGAGTGCCTCAGTCGTAAGTAAATATTCACCAGTCCAAAGTTCCTCATTTCTCTTTCTTTCTTATAAAATTCTTCTGTAGAACTGAACTCTTGTTTCTCTTCAGCCACCCCAAACCTTGGTCTTGTTGCAAGGCAGGTCATGCCTTAAACAGCAGGATTTAGAGGCAGAGCTGAGCCCTGAGTCTGATTGTAAAACCCCAGATTATTGTTCAGTCAGAGCCTGAACTTCTCCTTCTCACCCTGAGCTGGAATTTCAAACCCACACAGCCCAGACCTGTAGCACTGGGATGGCTCAGAAGGAAATGGAAGTGTCAGGATATTTCTCTATCATTGTGTGCTTCCTTTCACTGAAGAGAGGGATCCATAAATTTTCCACCTGCAATAAATAACCTTGCTCTAGGCTTTTAATTATAAATGTTAAGGGGAAGGGTACAGCCATTCTCTCTCTCTGTAGTCTTTTATCCTTACCAATGATTTATTTTTTTTTTGCCTTCTGGAGGTGCTATTTTGGAGCAGGCAGAGCCTGGCTTGGATTGATGGATCACAGATTCCTTCCTAGTGGCTTTTCCATGGCCACTCCCAGATAAAAACCCAGAGCTGCAGGTCCCAGAGCCAGCCAGGGCCACTGGACTTGGCTCACTGAGGTTCTGTGGCTTCATGAGAGAAAAAACAGAGCCAGTTACAGATCTCCAAGTGGATCCCATCCTCCCTGAGTCTGTTTCCTGTTCTGACTATAACAGGGATTTATTTGACAGAGGGGTAAACATGGATGAAGCAGGAAAAGTAGCTCCTTTCTATAAGCTGTGTGATTTTGGAGGTGAGTGCCTGGATTTCCACGGAATGAGTGTCATTTCCTCCTCTGGATTGGCTCCAACAATTCCATGTCCTTCTTTTGCTGGGGTCATTCACCAGCTCCTGTTTTCTCTGCACTGCAGAGGGACCTGAGCTACACTTTAAGATGTAATTGAGTTCTCTGGATCTCTACTTGAATGAAATGCTGTGTGAAACCTCCTGCTTTCCACAAACTGGGCAGCTCCTCAAGATCAATCCACTCTTTAAGTTAGTAGGAATTTTTTCCCAAACCTCAAAAGAAGCAGGAACAGACTGAGTCAATGGAATGCAAACAGAGAAAAGCCAAACCTTTCCAGTTTGAAAGAGATGACAGAGCCTGGACTGGCTGCTGCCTGAATTCCTCCTCAGAAATTCCTCCTGGAGAAGCTTTGCCATCACTCCTTGGCACAGGCATGAAACAAAGTCTCTTTGAATCCTACAATAAAAGAATGCAAATTATTTTATATCAGTGACATGAAAGTATTCCCTTCTTGGAGAATTGAACCCTGGCACAGGAGATGGATGGGAATTCTCTGAGCCAGTTGTAAAGCCCTGAAGAAATTCTTCATCCAGCAAGAGTTTGTGTTGAATTCTGATGGACCACACTGAAAATACCAGATAAAATGGTATTTCCAATGGTGCTCTGGCTCAGAGCAGGGCTATGAAAACATGAGCATCAAGATCTGCATTTAAGTGATGACTGTGGGGTCAGGAAACCACAGAAAAAGAGCAAACTGTGTCCTCTCCTGCAGTGTTGAAGGGTTTGTTCTGGGTGAAAGGATGTGAGCCAGTGTCACAGCCTGGCTGGCTCTGAGGATAGGGAGAGCTTTGAGTTGCTGCTCTGATTTTGGCAGTTTTATTAAAAGGCAAAAGGGATGTTTGAACCTGTGGCATTTCCCTCTCTATGCTGACATTTTCCTCTCTGTGTCTTCTTTTAGGGTAACTTTATATGCTGAGTTCCTTCCAATGAAAGCCAGAGCAAAGTGCATTTTATTAATAGAGGTGAGTGGGTGCATTCTGATTCTCAAGGGACAAATCCTCTGGTGGTCACATCCCTTCCATCCTCCTGCCTGGAAATCCTCTCAGAGCTGCAACCAGACCTGGCCTTGGTGTGGAGCTGAGTCACTGCTGAGCTCTGGTACCAGCCCAGCTCCAAAAGCAGCAGAAAGTTTTCCTGTCACACTCCACTCTTGGTGTTCAATTTGCCCTTTTCCAAATTATTTTGCACCCAGGGCTTCAAAGTGAGAACAAGGAGGCCATTTTAGTGTCCATGATTTTGTGGTGAAAAGCATCTCAGTGAAGGATTTGGAGAGCTGACAGCTCCAAAAATCCAGTGCTAAATTCAGCTCCACATCTTCATCCAAACCTGTCAAAGTCACTCAGGGCAGAATTTTGGCCTTGGAGTATTTTAAGGCAGAATTCACACCCCTGGAATTTCTCTCTCCAGCCATCCCTGGTGAGCACAGCCTGGAATGTTCCAAAGAAAAGGCCTTGGGAGCACTCCATTCCTCATTTTTTTCTGTTGGTTTTCCCTCTTGCAGGTGTTCTGGGCCCTTGGGACTGTGTTTGAAGTGCTCCTGGCAGTGGTGGTGATGCCCACGCTCGGCTGGCGCTGGCTCCTCATCCTCTCTGCCCTCCCACTCCTGCTCTTTGCTGGCCTGTGTTTTGTAGGTATTCCCCATGTGGATTCCTGCAATTCCCATTCCTCTACCCCATTCTGTGCCCCAGCTGAAGGAAATCAGGACAGTTTTGAGCTCTCTGGTGATGTCTTCTATGAAATAACTGAAATAATGACCAAAAAATGCAGCTTCAACAGGGTGCTGGGAAAAACATTCCAGGGAGAGTTGCATTGATGTGACTGTAATGGCTGGAGGACAATGGAGAGCTGGAATTTGGTGAAATCAGGCCTGGGACCCTCTCCAATTTAATAATTTTGTTTCAACTAATCTCAGTTGAATCAACATTTTATCAAAAGCTGTTGCTATTTCCCTAAATTCTCTTTAGATTTTGTCAATTCTAGAATCAATTTCCTTAAAATCAGGGATAGAATCTTCAGAGTGCAGGCCAGATCCCAAAATAAGTTAAACCTGAGCTTCAGTGATCTATTTTATTATTTATTAGGTGATATCTTTGCCAATCACTCAATCTCATAGATAAATGTCCTTGTCAGGTGGTTTGGCAGCCTTTTTTATTCCTTAGTTTTTCAGGAATATCTGCAGTTATCCAGATGATCACAAGCTTGTTCTAAATTAAAAGGAGCTTAAACCCATAAATTCTGGAATGCCAGGAGCATCTTGTTACCTGCCCTGGATGCTTTGCCATTCCTACACAGAAGGGATAATGTAAAAAAACTGCAAAAATTTCCAGCAGCTTTCAGGGATAAACCCAAAGGAGTGGAAGGGAAAGGCTTCTAAGTTGGTGGGGAAAGTGGGGGCTTGCAGTTTTTAAAGCCTGATGAGATGATCCTTGGAATTCTTCCTTGGAATTCTTCAAGCTTAGCTCTGTAATCCTCTGTCATGTGAGAATCTGCTGAAGTCACTGAGATTCCCCCAAGGAAAATGCCGGAGTTTATTGAAATTTATTGGGATTTTTATTGGTTGTATGTGTGACCTGCTCTGCTCCCTTAGTGGCTGCCAGAAAGTGCCAGGTATGATGTGTTGTCTGGGAACCAGGAGAAAGCTCTGGCCACTTTGAAGAGGATTGCCACAGAAAATGGAGCTCCAATGCCCTTGGGAAAACTGGTGGTTTCCAGGCAGGTACGTACAGGTCACAGAACAGTGAAACTGAGGGGGTTTGTAAGCAAATCATCAACGTGCTGTTCAATTTTAATGTCTCAGCTAGGTAGAAGAAATGAGGTTTGATCATTTAGATCTCTTTCCCACTGAGGAAGAGTTAATTTCTCATTTGGAAGTGAAAAGCAGTTTTAAAGTGGGCTTTAATGTTATTTAACTTCACTATTATTAAAGTTCTTTGAGGTTGTTGAAAAGCTCAGGTCAGAATTCCTGGATCTGAATGCATGAGACAGGATGAAATTTAACACTTTAGGTGCCCATCATCACCCAACTTCTGCTTGTTCCCAACAGGAGGACCGAGGCAAAATGAGGGATCTTTTCACCCCCCATTTCCGCTGGACCACCTTGTTGCTCTGGTTTATTTGGTAAGAGAAAACCTAAAGGTTCAGTGCCAGCACAGCTCTAAATGGGTTTTACTGAAGGGATTTTACTCAAATGCAGCAACTTCCTCCTCAGAAAAAAACAACCAACCAAAAAAACCCCCAGCCTGTATTGATTTGTAATTTATTCAACCATGCAAGCATTCTAAATCAAATTGCCCTTTAATTTTCTAAATGCTGAAATTGTTTTGAGGTAGGATTTTTGTTTCTTATAAGTTGGACCAGCTGAAACTTCCTTTCTCATTTGCTTCCTTGCAGGTTTTCCAATGCTTTTTCGTATTATGGGTTAGTTTTATTAACTACAGAGCTCTTCCAAGCAGGAGATGTTTGCAGCAGTGAGTATTTCTCCATCTTTTCTTTTTAAATATGTCCTGTTAAAACTGCTAGAGTATTTTTTATTAGATCACCTTCTGCTGGTGGTTTGGAAAAGGAATGTGGCTGAGTTTTAAGTTTATTTTAAATTTTTCCTCATCTCTGCCCAGTGCAGAGAGGTCCTGCAGTGGTTTTGAGCCCAAAATGTCAAACAGGAAGACAACCTTCAGGGCAGACCTGCTATCTGTTCCTCTTAATAAAGAAAAAAAGGTGATTGAATAAATACAAGTTTGCAGATTTCACAGGTCTAATTAGTTCTGAGAGAGAGAAACTGCTGCTCTGGAGCTCCTGGGTTCTCAAGATGGGAAAACCTGCTGAGAAAAAAGATAATGGTGGGAAATCAACATCTTCTGTGTTACAGAATTTTTTTTTTTGGGGGGAAAAAAGGGTGCTTTGACTGAGTTAAGAAGAAGCTTGAAGAGTTTGACTCCCCAGGGGAGGAATGATTGCATTCAGAACATTTGTAATTAGGGAAAACTGCCTGGAAGTTGGGAAATTATGAAAGGTGGATGGGGAAATTCCGGGGTTGAACAGCAGTGATGAGCTCTGAGAGCTCTGACTCAGGTTTGCCTCCTCAGAGGAGGATGTAGCCCCTAAAACCCCTTGTTTTTATGAGGACATGGGATTGTTGAGTATTCTCAGAGTGTAGGAAGCATTGGGATCCAAATTTGTGTTGGGAGAAACTGAATTATTGGAGTTAGTTCTGTCCTGAGCCCTGTACTGGAAAATAATTCAGGCTGTACAGCTGATAAGGAGATGAAATTTTCACTGAGCTGAGACATCCTGTCACAGAAAATATTATAAATGTTCAGTGTTTTCAGGCAAAATCAGCAAGCATTGCTCTTCATTGCCCCTCTGACTCTGAATTCTATCCCAGCAGCACTGCAGGCATTCAGAAGAGGAATAACAATTAAATCAAAGGGGCAGAATAATTTGAATTTCTATCCCTAAACAACTTCCCAGAAGTATTTTAAGGGATGGTGGGTGTGAATCCATACCAGTTCTTCCAGCTCATCCCTTCCTAAATTTCAGCAGTAAAAATGAGAGACCCAGCAGGAAGGGTAAATAGGGAAGAGTTTGCTTAAAATATATTGAATATTTGTGCTTTTTTTTTTTCCCTGCAGTATCCAGCAGAAGGCAAGAAGTAAAAGCCAAGTGCAGCCTGACCTGTGAGTACCTGACAGAGGAAGATTACACTGACCTGCTCTGGACAACCCTGTCAGAATTCCCTGGTAAGGAGCAATGGGAAGCTCCATTTTTTTCCTTGGAATGGCTCAGGATGTGGGAATGGGCTCTGGCAGCAGCAGAGGGACTGGGATGTATGGCTTGATGCTTCCCACAGCACTCAGAGCTCTTTGCTGTAGCTGTGGATTCTCCCTGCCTTGGGATCACTCCAGAAAAAATCAATCATTGCTCTGGAATGGTTCCTCTCTGTTCCAACCCAGCAACACTTCAGGAGGAGCAAAACCAACTCAATCAAAGGGGCAGAAACACTGGAATTTCTATCCATAAGTGACTTTCCAGAAGTATTTTCAAAGAATGATGGGTACAGTAAATTGAGGGAGACCTTGCTCCCTCAAACCCTGTGTCCATCCTCAGTCCTGATCCTGTGATTTTTCAGGCAATTCCAGCAAAATTCAATGGACAATCTGGCACAGGACAAGCAAAATATGTGAAACAGCCATTGATCCTTCAGATGGAGGGGATCTCCCAATGTTAATGTGATTGAAACAACACCAGAGACAGGGATCAGGATGTTTTCACTCTCCTGGATCATAATTTCAGGGCTAAAAGCTCAAGGAAAAGCCATTTAATGAATGATAATTTGCAAGTATGACTGAGAAATATGCACAGTCATTCCTAAGAGGAGTGTGCTGCCAAACAGGCATTTTGGAAAGGATACCCAGGAAAAAAGAGTGGGTGCCTGGAGTGGTGCTGTGGCTGCAAGGTCTGGTTTGATCCTCACACACACTGAGGTGGGAGTGAGAAATACTGACAGGATATCTCTGGATGTGACACTGATGCTGGAATAATCTCCACTCCTACTGTGCATTAGCTTTTAAAAGGATTTGGAAAAATTGCATTGGAGGGAAGACTTAATAGTGAGATTTCCTGAGCTTGATCAAAAAGCAAGGAATAAATAATTTGGTGAAACATCTAAATAACAGAACAGAAAGAAAATACCACATTCTTAAATCCAGCAGGGAACAATGGCCAGAAGTTGAACAGAAGTTCTTCCAGTGAGCCATGAGCAGGTGTTTTAGGCATTCACATCAGTAATCCCTGGATGGGAGTGTGGATTTGTGGAGCATGTAGCAGGGCTCAGCAGCTGGGACACAGAATTCCTGTTTTCATATGACACCAGCAGCAATCTATCCCAGAGCCTTGCCTGGGGCCAGCAAAGGATTGGAAAGAGAGGCCAAAATTTCCAATCTAAACTGTGTGAAATCTGCTGCAGCCCCTCTTTGCCAGATTCCCAAGGGTCTCCTGGTCTCTTCCCACAGGGGTGTTGGTGACCCTGTGGATCATCGACCGCATTGGCCGCAAGAAAACCATGGCCCTGTCCTTCCTTGTCTTCTCCTTTTGCAGCCTCCTGCTCTTTCTCTGTGTTGGAAGGTGAGTCCAGCACAGGGAACAGCTGGAGTAAAGGATTTCTCCATGTCCTCTCTTGGTTTTGGTGGGAGAACTGGGAGTGGTGGTTTGAAAAGCTGTGCGATGGTCGTGCTCAGCTGGAGAAGGATTTAAGGCTGGGGTTGGGTTTTCTTGCCAGAATTTGGGAGGGAAGTAAAAGTGAATTCCAAGTGAACCCAGCAGATTGTACTTAACATTCCCGAACTCTGCTCTCCTCTTTCTCCTCACAGAAATGTTCTTACTGTGCTGCTCTTCATTGCAAGAGCTTTTATTTCAGGAGGATTTCAGGCTGCCTATGTTTACACTCCTGAGGTAAGGGGGTTGTTACAGTGATGGGAATATTCAAGGGGAATGAGAACAGGGTGGGAAAGTAATACTGATGACCTGTTCCCAATGTACCTCACCCCAGGCTGGAGCTGTAAATCCCATTGTCATTGTCTGACAATGTGCTGTGGCACCACTTACTAATTCTCATTGATTTAGGAGTGGAAGGAGGAAAATTTCCCACTGGGATTGATGGGATGATGTTTTTTCCACAGGTTTATCCCACAGCCACACGTGCTTTGGGCCTGGGAACATGCAGTGGAATGGCCAGAGTGGGAGCCCTCATAACCCCATTCATTGCACAGGTAAATCCCTTCTCCTCTGAAACTGGAGGCACAGGAAGCTTGGATTGATGATCTTGGAGGTCTTTTCAAGCTTTAGCAATTCCATGATTCTATGAAGGGGATATAGAACCTGCTTTTCTTCCACTATCCCATGTTGCTCCAAGCTCTGTCCTTGGATATTTCCAGGGATGGGCCAGCCACAGCTCCTCTGGGCAGCCTGTGCCAGGAGCTCCCACCCTCACAGGGAAGAATTCCTTCCTAAAATCCAGTCTAATCCTCCTCTCTGACAGTTTAAAACCACTGTCCATTGTCCTAGCACAATCTATAATCTCCCTCCTTTCCGGGATCTTCAAGTTAAACTTTATTCCCAATACTAAAATTAAAATTTCTGTTGCTCCACTAGTATCTGTATTTCCATGCTGAGGTGTTGTTTTGCATTCCCTGCCTTTTCCCTGCAGGTGATGTTGGAATCTTCAGTCTATCTGACTCTGCTGGTTTACAGTGGCTGCTGCCTGCTGGCTGCCCTGGCCTCCTGCTTCCTGCCCATCGAGACCAAGGGCCGTGGCCTGCAGGAGTCCAGCCACAAGGAATGGGGCCAGGAGATGGTGGGCAGAGGATCTCATTCCCCAGGGGAATCACAGGAATGATGGGACACGGAAACCTGCTGGAAGAGTGAAGGATAGGAGCGAGATGTCTCACAAAACCTCCGAGCCTGAAGCATGGAAAGCTGACCACCATCACTGCCATCCTCACGTGTCAAACTGCAGGAGTTTGGGGTTGAACCTCAGCAAATTGTGTTTCTGCTGCTCTTTGCTCACACTCATAAAAAATTTTTTGGATGGAGAAGCCTCTGATGCAGATACCCTTGGAAGTTTAGCAGGAGGGGTTTCTCTTCAGTCTGTTGTGCTTGCATGGTCAGCTCTTCAGCTTAAAATGTCCTGTGCCAAGCAAATGCCAAGTGACTGCAGCCCAGCATAAGCTGTCATTAAAACACTGAGCTCTTGATGCCTAAAACCAAGAGGTTCATCTTTAGGGTGTTCCCTGGCCTGGCACAGGGTGGATTCCATCCCTACCACTGTGGATTAAATGCCTGCCTTGCACTTTTAGCCATCAAAACCATCACCAAAATGTGGTTCCATCAAACCAACCCAGGCTTTCCAGTTGGGTTTTGTTCCTGGAGAGTGGATTGCTTGGAAACTGATTCCTGACTGTTTCTCCCATCCCAGGTGGGTAGTTGGAGCAGGGAGGGTGGTGTTTGCTGCAGAGCTGCGAGCTTGTAGCAGAAATGTAAATCACAGAGTCATTAAGGTTGGAAAAGACCTCCAAGCTCATCAAGTCCAATGTGTAAATCCTCATGTCTTGGAGCAGAATTGGACTTCTCTGGCATTGCCAGGGGCCTTTAGCTCTCTGTCTGGTGCTTGGAGTGAGGAGGTTCTCACTCCTGGGGTTCTCTGTGTGGATCCAGGTGTGGGCCTGCTCCATTACCTGGGCACATCTTCATGGTGAGGCAGCCAGAGCTGGGAGCTGCTGTTGGGATGGAGCCACTCCCTGGCAGCTGGGCAGGACCTTTCCTGCTGATTGTACATTGACTGACAAAGGAATGTAGCTGGAATAAATGCACAAAACCATGGGAAGAGCCCATCTGTAGTGCTCTTGGATGAGGAACATCCCTCCTTCAGGTGTGGCTCCTCAAGGGATGATCCCACTCTTGTCAGGGAATGTAACAGAGCTCAGGTGAGGACAAGCTCGTCTGGTTTGTCACAAACCTGTCCCTGGGCACAAGTCAGGTGGCAGAGTCTGTGGGAATGTGTAGAGGTCTGAGATGTGCCTCATCAGGGTCTCAGTGGATGTTCAGGATTCCAGACCTTGGGACACACAACCAAATCTGGGTGAGATGGACTTGGTGAGGCTGTGGGAGCAATGGGGATTTGTGATCTGTCTGAGCAAGTGACTCACCTGAACACAAGTAAATGTGCAACACATTTTTACAGTTGAACATTTTAAGTATCCTGGGAAGCAGGTCCCATTCCTGGGGTCAGGAATAGATCTCCAAGTCCGTGTTTGGTGCAGTACAAGTGAGCACTGTGGGGCACAGCTGTCACTGAGGGACACAGCTTTGAGGTCACTGCAATGCTCCACCATGAGTGCCAGGCTGCTCATTTGGAGACTGAGGGGAGTGGAAAATTCCTTAAAGACAGCCAGGAGACTCAGGCTGATGGAAAAGGCCAAAGAGGTTGAAATTGTGAGAGGGGAGATGTTCTGCTGAGAACTGAGTTTGCCAAGGCACCGAGTGTCCATCCAGTCCCACTGGAGGACGGTGAGTGAAGAATTCCAGGAAAAGTTGGTGGAAGCAGGCAAACTTGGCTTTTCCAAGCAAGATGAAAATGAATTCAGCTCCCAAGAGATCCTTAGGATCCCTGGGCTCAGCTGTGGGTGATGGCACAGAACCCTCTGTCCGTTCCAGCTGGGTTGGTTCCCTTTGTGTCCCCTGTCCCTGTGTCTTCACACTCCACCAAAATCAAGCTCCAGCTGATCCCAGTAAACAGACAGGGCTCTCATGGCACTGACACCAACCACAGCTCATTTGTTCACCTCCTTCTGCCAGGCTGGGGTTGGGTCCTTCCCTTTGTGTGCCTAGGGCAGCCTGGAGCAAAGCCAGAGGGACTTGTTCCATGGAATGCCAGAATTCCAAAGCGATTTGGGTTGGAGGCACCTTAAAGCTCATCCAGGCAGGGACATTTCCCACTAGATCAGGATGCTCCAAGCCTCATCTACACCTGACCTTGAACACTTCCAGGGATGGGGAACCTCTGCTTTCACTTGGGCTGGCTTCTGATGTGCTGGATATGGAACATAGCAGTGAGGAAGCAGATCCTGGATGGGTTTAACCAGATATCACCCCACATGTGTGGCCAGTGGGCTGGAAAAGCTGCTGGGCTGGGATCTCCTGGAGCTGAGTTTGCCTGTGCACAGTCAGGCTGTTCACCCCTCAGTGACAGCTCTGACATTCCATCCTCATCCTGCTGCTGGTGGAGGCCCTCGAGGCCATTCCAGTCCCCCAGGTGTTTCCATGCTTCCTTCCTTGGGCTTGCCATGAGCTGGGTTTGCATCCCAAAACTCTGGAACTGAGCCTGGGCAGAGGTGACAGAGAATCCAAAGTGCAGGACAGGCCTGGCCCGAAGGAATTCCCCCCACCATGGGCCAGTTTGTTACTCAATGCCTTGAGTTAAAATTCTGCTTTCCCAGGGGTAATGTTCACATCTCACTTCATTTTTTTTAGGTGAATTATTCAGCATTTTTAAAGAATTGCATTCAACGGCCTTTAGAGAGTTTTAGGTGAAGTTTATATGTTCATGCCCACCTGGATCCTACAGATAAGCTACTTCCCAGGTAAAGATTTTATAGGGAATGCAACATTTTCCATGCTGTTGAATAGATCAGTTTTAACCTGTGACATTTACAGTGTTAACCAAAAAATGGAAGGCATTTTTGCTTTTCACTTTTTATGAATTCTGCACTAAAAAAAAAAAAAACTATTTAATGATAGAAATACCAAGATTGGTGTTGCTGGGTCTTTGATTTTGTTAAAGCTTGATCCAAAGCTCACTGAAATCTGGGAAAATCTGTGGATATCCATGGGCTTTGGATCAGCTGAATGAAAGGGAGAGGTAGGAGCCCACCACAGCTGATCCCACCTGGCTGAATTCAGCAGGAGCCCATTGGGCACTGGAGAAACAGATCTGGAATTGAGAATTTGCAGGAATTTGCATATAATTAATAAGAGAAGGCCATTTCAGCTTGCTCACTGAGAACACTGGGGTTGACACACACCAGTTCTAAATCACCACTAGATTTTATCAGTAGGGCAGCACCATTTAGGTACAAAATAAACTTCCAAAGAGTCCTTTTCCACACTGGGTATTTTTCACTGGTAAAGGAATTACTGCAACTGCTTTGTTTCAAACAGGAAAGTGAGATCCTTTGGAATTCCAACAGAATTGTGGGATTTGGTTTTGCCAAGTGTCCAAGATAGCCAAGCTGGTGTGGGAATGTAATTCCCCAAGTGTGCTTGGATGGGATGATTTGTTATTCCCAAATACTTGCTGAAAGAGCAGCGAATGTTTCCATGTCTGAATGTACAGTTTCTAAGCTGGATTTACATTTTAATGTTGAAAAACTTGGTGTATCTCAAGCTTGTTGTAAAATACTCCTCTGGTTCCTGTTCCCAATGTGGCATTGGAGAGTTGAAGTCCACATTAGATATTTTATGTTAAACAAATAAATAGTTTTTTCAGGAAATAAGTTTTTGGCTCTTCTGGGGGCTGTTTAGGAGGGGTCATAACTTTGCTTTTTTTTGGTTTTTTTTTTTGTCTTGGTGTTCAGAGGTTTGAGCTACAGGGCTCAGCACTCTGCAGGTCTGACACATTTTCTGTCTGTTTTGTGTATTTAGATGTAAAGAAAAGTCACAGGATTCCTGTTCCCATTGTAAGTAACCTCATTACAGCAAAATATTGTGGCTGCTGCATCCCTGGAAGTGTTCCAGGAAAGGTTGGACAAGCCTTGGAGCAATGTGGGGTAGTGGAAGTTGTCCCTGCCCATGGCAGGGGTGGGACTGGATGGGCCTCAAGATCCCTTCCCACCCAAACCATTCTGGGATTCCACATTTTTTAAAATTCTCTTAAATCTTTAATTGATTTTCATATTTAATTCAGTTTGGACACTAAACCCCAGCCAGTTTGGCCTCTTCCCTGGGTGTGCTGGCATCAGGTGGCTCCACATGTGTCTGGACTTTGGGTCAGGGAGGGTTCCTGCTAATTTCCATTTCAATATAAACCCTTAATTTCCCTATCATTTTTCTAAACCATAATTAAGTGCCCAACCCTATTTTCCTCCTCCCTGTCACTGATATTCTTATTTTGATGCCCAATAATTTACAGGCAGGAGGTGGTTGAAGGATGAGTCAAAATGACTAACTGAGCTGCAAATCCTTCTCATGCTAATGCAGGGTGTTCTCATCCCAGAGTGCTTCCATCTCCCTTCTCCCAGCCTGGGATGCAGAGCCTCCTTCCTGGGAGTGGGAATATTTGAGAATTAGAAGGGTTTGTGTGGCTGAAGCAATGCTGGGGGCAATAATCTTTCATCTGTGGTTACTTTTTGGCATCCTCAGGCATTTCTAAAGCTCATTCTCAGGATCATGGAATCTCCTGAGCTGGAAAGGACCACAGGGATCATCCAGTCCAGCTCCTGGCCCTGCACAGACACCCCAACAATCCCACCCTGTGCATCCCTGGGACTGGTGTCCAAACCCTCCCGGAGTTTCCCAAATTCCAGAGCTGCTGTTTGTTGACTTCCTTGATACGTGATGTGCTTCCAGCTTTGTTCTGTGTCACAGGAGATCCTTGTGGAGAACTGGGAGTTCCTAAAATGTGCTGACACTGGACATGGGATGTGTGTCTTGTGTGTCAGAGGACACGCAGGAATTGTCCAGACCTCATTCCATGACTCCCTGACTTCTCCCTGGCCTCAAAATTAACTTCAATCCCTCAGTGGGGATTTGCCCAGGGAAGCTGTGGCTGCCCCATCCCTGGAAGTGTCCAAGGCCAGGTTGGAGGGGGCTTGGAGAAACCTGGGATAGTGGAAGATGTCCCTGCCCTGACAGGGTGGTGGGACTGGATGATCTTCCAAGTCCCTTCCCATCCAAATTCACAATTCTGTGATTTCTGTGAGTTCTTAATGCCCTGGGGACTGTCAGCAACCACAGATCTTCACACATTTATATTCCAGGTTCCCTGGTCTGCTTGGAATCTGGAGTGATGACTCCTACTCCTCCAGGATGAAATGTTTAGGAAAAATGTGTGTGGAGACATGGAATGGTGATCTCCTGGGACATTTCTGTGGAACCAGCACTTGAGGCCCTTCCCATGCCATCACTAAGAGAAAGAACCATCATGCACAAGAGATTTGAACATTCCCTTTATTGGTCACACAGATTGAGGCCTTTAGAAAACAAACAGAATTATCCTGCAAGTAAAATCACAGATCAGCTCATTCCTGTTTGCCAGGAGGCCGTGTGAGGTCACAGGGCAGTGGCTCCTGCAGGCTCTGAGATCACAAGAATCAGCTGCTCATTGTCAGGTGTACAATTATTTCCTACACCCCTGTTTATACAGTGGAATTTTCCCAAAATCACCAAAGTGGGGCTGGATTTACAGCAGAGAATGTGCTGCTGAATGTCTCCTATTTGGAATAAGTGAAACCAAGGGGATCCAGTTCCCCTGAGTGGCTTTTCCTGAGGTGGGATCACAGACCATTGAGTTCACCATTAATCAGCAGGAAATTTTCTCCAGCCTTTATTTTCCTTTTCCTGACTTTACCTAGTGACTGCAACATTTCCAGGGAAGCTGGAAATTCTTTGGACAGCCTGGGCATGGCAGTGGCTCCCAATTTGCCCTGCCCAGCTGTGTTTGCTAAGCCCAGCAGGGAGATGCCCACGCTGCTGAGCTATTCCTGGCACACGGAGTCATCAGGAGAGAGGAGCTGCACCACGGATGAGTAAGGAACACTTGGCTTATCCACACAGGAGAGTGAGCCAGGCACTGTGCTGGGCTCACCACAGCCTTTGGATTTGAGGGTTCCTGACCATCCAGTGCCCTGTCTGGTTTGTAAAGCAGGAGAGACACGTAGCATGGGAAGATCAGCCAGGTTGCATCTTCAGAACAGTGTGTTGGGTCCCCAACAGCATCCCTGAACACCCCAAAAAGTCCTGCTCCTTCTCTAAGAAGCACAACCTTTCCCAAGCCAGTCCTTCTCTCCTGAGCTGTGTCCCATGGCTGGGAGAAATGGGAAGCTGAGGGCCATGGGAGTTTTAGGGACAAGAAGAGCTATTTTCTTATGCTCTCTGCTATATATAGAGTCTGGCAAGCCCACAGGGCTGGAACAAGTTGCTTTTGTTGCTAAAACTTCATTTGGAAAGGCCATTTTAGGCAAGTTCTGCTGTCTGGTGCCAGCTACACTAAGCAGGTGCTGTGGCCTGAGATTTGTCCTGGCAGGAATGGGAGGAAAACTGGTGTAACCCAGGCACGTGCTCCCAGAGCTGCTGTTACTTCCCTGGGAGCCTCAGAGCTTCTTCCTACTAAGGAGCTTTTGCATCCTGGGGAGAAGCCTGTAAATCTAATTACACACTGGGTGTTGGAGCAGCCAGCAGAGACCTCAGGTGTTCCCAGCTCCGTTTCAGATCCTGGCCCCCCATGCAGATGAACTGCAGGATGGTCCAGGGTTCAGCTGAACCCAACCTGCCCTTTGCAGCCTGATCCCAGACAGCACTTGGTGCACTTTGCCACGGATGATTAGGCCATATCTGAAAGCCCTTCCTCCAGGCAGGTTGTGGAGGGAGTGGAGCCATCTGGAAAATGGCAGCAACCTGGAAATGAGATGCTGAGAGCCAGAGCTGGGTCGAGCAGCCCGTGTGTGTATCCCTGTGCTGTTCCCATCCTTCTGCTGTGATTCCTAAGCCACTGTTGTCACCTTTTCCAGGGGAGCAGGTGCTCACAAGCGGGACCCTGGGGGAGTGGCCAGCTGCCTCTTCTCCTGCAGGATGCTCCCAAGGAGCCGAGCTGCTGCCATGGCACAGCCCCAGTGGATGGTGATGCCAAAGCCACCGTGGCCGTAGTTGTGAATCACCTGGGGGAGAACCACAGAATCCCAGCAGGGATTAGGGGGAATCTCAAAGCCCTTCTTGTCCCATCCCCTGCTGTGGGCAGGGACATCTCCAGCCAGCCCAGGTTGCTCCAAGCCCTGTCCAACCGATCCCTGAGTACTTCCAGGAATGGGGCAGCCACACCAATAATTTGTTTCAGTATCTCTGACATTTATCCCTGGGCTCAAAGATTCCCTCGCTATTGGTGAAGAGATGGAGAGAGGGATGATCACAGGAACAGGGCTTCTTTATCACTGCCCGGGGCGCAATTAACACGGTCATTAATTACACCCAGCCCCGGGGCTGTGCGGGTACCTCTGCCTGGAGATTGCCGAGGCGGATGCTCTCCCGCTCCAGGCGGACCGAGGGCCGTGCTGGTCTCAGGCCGCTCCACTCCCCGACGATCTTTGCCTTCTGGAAGCAAAAGCACAACAGCCCTGCACAGCATTCCTTGGAATCCCACCAGCCAAACCTCACAGCACCAGGTGAGCCCTGAGATGAGCAGGAACAGGGGGCTGCCCATCCTGGAGCAGCAGCTCCAGGCAGAACGATTTGGGATGGCAGTGCCAGCCTGGAGCTGAGGCAAATCCCTGTGCCAAAGCCCCACACCACCTTTCCTGCTAATCCAGGTAATAACAGCAGCACTGGGAGTGGGCATAACCCAGCCTCACCCCACACAACCCTTCTCCAAAGGTGTGGGGACAAAGGGCTGGAACCTCCCAAAGCTCTGGTTCTATTTTTTTCCAACTACATGAGTAATTATTATCTCTATAAACCTTGTCTCAGTGGAAGCCCCAGCCCTTCCTGTCCCCCAGCCAGGTGGAAGAGCCCCAGGTATCCATGATGGATACACAGAAACCCTGACTCACAGAAACACCGAGGTCCTGTGGTTTGTCCCAGCACCCATTCCTGCATCCTGAGCCCCCCAGCTCCCCATGCCCCATGCTGGCACTTGGGTCACCCACCTGGAGAGCCGGGAGCAGCTGGCAGCAGCCATCCCAGATGGATTTGTGATCCTTGGCACTGTTCTCCTCATTCCAGTTTCCGTGCTGGTAAATCCCTCCCAGGACTGTGAATTCACTCCTGCACCAGGAACCAAAGGAGACACACAGTGGTGGCTTGTCCCCAACTGTCCCCTGTGGGGCCACCACATGGAGGGACACTGTGTGAGTGTGATGTTGGATCCTGCTGCACCCTGAGCCTGCAAAATATTCCTTTGGGAGAAACTTCCACGTGGAGCAGGCAGAGAGCAGTGCCTGCACGTCTGCTCGTGAGCAAGTCACTCATTAAATGCTGTCAGCCCTTCCCTGTCTGGGCAAAGCAGACAGATAATTCCATCCTTATCAAACAGGTCTGCTCCTGCCTGGCTCAGGAAGAGCTGGAAGGAACGGGATGGCTCTGGAGGGGAACACAGACATTGGTGGTGCTGTTGCTCCAAACTCTGTGGATTAACAGAGGACAAGAGGCAGGTTAAGGCTGAGGGGGGCCTGGAGGGGTCTGTATGGCTGGACCCTTCCAAAACCTTCCTTGATCATTGGGAAGCACAAAAGGAAAAGGAGGGACCCTCCAGGGCTGAGCTGTCCAGCAGGGAAGGGGTGCCCTC